ATGCCCCATCCCTGCAGGTGCTCAAGGCCAGTTGGATGTGACTCTGGGCAGCCTGATCTGGTGGGTGGCAGTCCTATCCATGGCAGGTGATTGGAACTGGATGGGCTTTGAGGTCTGTTCCAACCAAAGCCATTCTATGATTTTATTATTACTGCATTTGCACATATGAAAGACAAACACCAAGCAGAATCCCTCCTGTTCTGCTCAGTGCAAATGGATGGCACAGCTCAGAAAAGACTCAGGGGCTCTTAGGAAAAAAAGGGAAAACCTTCATGTTTCACTGAGTTCACTCAGGGTCAAAATGTCATACCATTTTTTTGGCTACAGGCATCTTTCCTCCTCTGCTAACTTTCAACTAGAGGAGCTCCTGTTGTATATACAGAGCATCAGAGTATTATACACACGTAGCCAAAACTGCCAAAGATAGCAATGAGGAGCTAAACTGAAAGTGATGGCAATGTGTTGATGAAATCCCACTCCCCCGCTCATCCAGCCAGACTCTGAAGGATGGCTAACAGGTTTCTGAGCTCCTCCGAGCAAACAGCATGGAAATGTAAGTCGTGGTTTGGTTTATGCCCAGAGTGTTGAACTAATAGCACTTGTCTCACATGTAAGCAGCTGCAAAACCTGATATTTACAGAAGGATTCACAGAGATGAGAAAAGACTGCTTTTATTTTCTAGATGACAGCCTCTGGTTCAAATGGGAATTAATTTGGGAAAACCCTCTGGTCTGTGTCGTAGAGCATGCCAGGTTAAATGATGACAGCAGACTCTTTTTTTATCATGGAAGATTGGCTTTAAATTATTGCCATCGTTCCCACATCAAGACAGGAGCAATCTTACCTACCAAGGCACCCTTCATTTTGCATGCCAAATAGACTGTGAGCAAAATAAAATTCTACCTTTTAAAGCCATCAATCAAAGAGCTCACCAGTGCACTTTGTATAAATACAAGCACACCCAAATACACTTACTAGTAGTTGCCACTTTTTCACAGAGCCATCACTGATAGTACATCCATCCTTGGCTTACCTTCAGCAAGGTGGCTCTGACTTCAAAGCTTAAAACTTGCTTTCAATTGGCATTTCTCAGATTCAAGCATCAGCTGACACATGCTGCTGCTGGCAACACAATGGCTCTTGTCTCAGACACCCAGAAGTAAGTGTACAGTGTGGTCTTTCAATTCAAAATGTGAAAAGAGAATGTTTTGATGGTCCAGTGATGTCTTTTATTAGATTATTTTGTGCAGCTGGAAAGTACAGTCCAGCTTTAGATACCAAATCTGACCTCAAGTCCCAACGTGAATTACTTCTGATTTTTTATTGGCTACATCAGCTGGTCTGACAAACCACATCTCTGTTCGTCCAAAACTTAGATCCCTTTCATGGAGAAATGATGGAGCAGGTGAAGCTCCTGCTGGTGGAATGCAGCACTGCTATTGGCAGGCAGGATACTGAAATGTGTGATACGTGAGATTGTTGCTGGATTTGGAATAGTTTATAAACTCAATATGAATTTGAACCTGAACTCCTGTTGGGAGTTTGGAGGCTCAGCTCCATGCATTAGAATGATTCCACTAGGTTGTTATGTTTTGTTTTGGTTTTTTGATACAAGAGTGAGAATGCACCACACAGCCACCAGAGCAGTGAGATAGCATGGCAGCAGCCAGTAAAGCTTCCAGCTTTGCTGAGTTTTTGTTGTTGTAACGTAAAATGGATAACTATGGCCAAATATATACCTGGCAATTTCCTTGTCTTCCATGGTGCCGTTCCAGTTTTTCTTGGTACAAGTAAACTCAAGCACATATTTTATTCTTAGACATGAGCATCTTCCATAGGTCTTATGTTATGATTGTTGTACACAAATTCAAAGTACTTCCAAGTCAAACATTTGGAGCTGATGGGCAACATATGTATTACTTTACCTTCTATTTCCCTAAAGGCTCCAGTTACTCTGCCTCTGCAGTGAAGCATAGCTGTGCTTCTGTTGAAACCAAAAGAGGAAAAAAAGATGAGGAAAAGAGGAACTATTAAACAGATTTTTGTCTGATGCTTCCATCTTGTGGCCAACTCAGAAAAGAAAACTTCAGCCTGCTTTTTCAGTTAAGGTGTTAACTAATGCAAGCAAACATTAAAGCTTGTAAAGGTGTCCCAAACATTTCCTCTAGTTACATGAAAGGGGATGAACTGCAATTGTGTTTTGCATTTTGAAGGAACCAAATGCTGTCAGAGGAAGGTCTGGGTTCCTTCTCCATCACCTGCTATGTTTTGAACTCAGGAGAGCTGACAGTGCCAAAGGGCACAGGGCACAGACAGGACTGGGCTGATGAGGCCATGGGTGCCAAGCCTGGCTCTTTTCTTGCTGTGAAATCGATGCCAGAACTCACATGATGTAGACTCTCATCCAGCTATCAGCTTCACAAGAGAGCCCAGGTCTGCAAGATAACTTTCCTTGTTCATTATTCTTGAACATACAAAATGCTTACGTTCCATTTTCTCTGATCTTTCCCAAGGGTTATCCCAGCACACAGCTCCCATACCCAAAGGTGATGGGATATAGGCTTCTCACTGGGACAGGTACAAGGTCACCATGCCTTAGGTGCCATCAGAAACTTCTCAGGGTGGCTGGACAGCTTATTTCCACCTGAAGAAATATTCCCTTTGGCATGGCTCATAGTAAGCAAGAATGTTAGCCAAAGGTCTGCTCACCAGTACACACTGAGGTGTCCTGCCTAATGCCCACATATTACATGATTCATTAATTTTCCCTTCCCATCCTAGCCAGAAGTCCACCCCTGTCTGCTGCACAGGGCACAATGCTGCCCTCACCACAGCTCCAGCCTCTTGGGCAAATGCCTCTTCCACAAAACTGCAGGCTCCCTGGGTAGCCAAATATTTGCTGAGGCCTTGAGGAACGGAGCAGGGTCATAAGTATCTTGGTTGATGTCTCCAGTGCAGTGAGGAATGGGGCTATTGTGCAGGTTCTGCTTCAACAGGAGGGTTCCTTGAGTGGACACACTCATACACATGCAGTCACACCCTATGCAGTGGAGAATGTATTCCTGTTCTGCAAAAAGGAAGAGTGAGAGCTGAACCTGAGCTCCACATCCAGCTGCAGGTTCTTATGTAGGGAGGGATTTTGATATTACCCCCTTAATCATGGCTTGAGAATTAATGAATCTGTCGCTCCCTTCACAGGTGCTGCCCCTCCAGAAAGCAAAGCTGAGAGAGACAAATATAAGGGCACAGCAACGCCATGACTGCTTCCACAGCACCTGAAGTGGTGGAAAGGGTTGTATGTCCACATAGCTTTGTGGGAGAAGGAATCCTCTTTCTTTGACAAGAAAACTCTTGTCAAAACAAGAGTGCAAAGGAGAGGAAACCTGCCATAATTCCTTACCTAAGGCAAGAGCCCAGGCTGCTGTACTGTGATTGATGCAAGGAGGAGTTCTGCTTTTTGAAGAAGCTGTGAAGAAGGAGATGTTAGATGGAGGGTTTACCCCAAAAATATTAACATAGAAGTGACTACTCCCTGGACAGGAGTTTACTAACTTGCCCATTCACAGGATTTTCCCACAACAAGGATTTCTCACTTTCCTGTTTTCTGCTGGCAAAAAGAGGCAGTTTTCAGAGCAGAAAATCCATCTGACAACATTTATACTGTTTTCAGACTGATACTATTTAATTCTTCTCAAGTTCATGTTCAGTTATATAAACTACTGTGGGAATACAGCATCATAGAGCAAAATCTGGTTTGGTTCATAAAGAAGCTCAGTTCAGCACAGGTTTAAAAAAATACCTGCATCTATGGCCAGAAGAATCATAGAATCATAAGGTTGGAAACGACCTATAAGATTAATCCAACCATCCTCCCATTGCCATTGCTACCACAAGCCTCTAAACCAGATCTCGCAGCTCCTCATCCAGACGCCTCTTGAACACTGCCAGGGACGGCAACTCCACCACCCCCCTGAGCAGGCCATTCCAATGCCTGACCACTCCCTGAGAGAAAAAGTTCTTCCTTATGTCTAACCTAATCCTCCTCTGGTACAACTTCAGCCATTTCCTTGGGTCCTGTTTGTTGCCTGGGAGAAGAGGCCAAACCCCTCCTCATCACAGCCTCCCTTCAGGAAGTTGTAGAGTGCAATGAGGTCTCCTCTGAGCCTCCTCTTCTCCGGACTAAACAATCGAAGCACCCTCAGCTGCTCCTCATAAGACGTGCTCCAGACCCCTCACCAGTTTCATTGCCCTTCTCTGGACACGCTCCAGGGCCTCAATGTCTTTTTTGTAGTGAGGGTCCCAAAACTGAACACAGTACTTGAGGTGCAACCTCACCAGTGCTGAGTACAGGGGGATGATTATCTCCTTGCTCCTGCTGGCCACGCTATTTCTAATCCAGGCCAGGATGCCATTGGCCCTCTTGGCCACCTGGGCACACAAGTAGAGAAACTATGGCAATTTGAAGTTGGATTCATCCATCCTCTATGTTCATCAAGAGCTTTAGACTAAAGGCTGACATAAGGCAGCTTTAGTCCCTTGTTAAAAACCACCTTTGCATAAAACCTCTTATACACTTGTATCAGAAGAAGCAGAGCGTATATAGGAGATACATGACACAGTGCTGCCTTTTGCAACCCATGCACCCCTTTACCCAGCATATGCAGACAGGTGGCATTGAACATATCAGAACATCTACCAGTGCTGAAATCAGAAGGATTTTATCTTTTCTGGAGAGCTCAGACATCAGTCACTGGAGTACTAAACCTACCACCCATTTGGGGTCAAAGGGGCTTCACATGGACAGAATTCATTAGTTAAGTTACCTGCTCATTGGCAGTTCCTCACTGTGCACACCAGAAGGGCTCAGGGAACTGTCCTTGCTGCCTGATGACTTGGCAGAGCTCTCTACCAACCCAAAATCTCAGGCAGGAAAAAAAAAAGCAAGCAAGACTGATCTCTTATAACAATCTTTCAATAAGTGAGTATAGACCCCTCACATATCCTTAAATTATATATCATTTATTGAAATATAGAGATCTTAATTTACAGGATTTGATTTTTCAAAGACAAAGTATCAACAGGGGCATTTTGTAATACATTTTGTGCCTACCATCACTCAGGCTAGTTTGCCCTTCTTCAAATATTTCACAACAGCCACCATTTTGGAAACACTTCCTTTTTTATTATTCTAAAATATAACTTTTGGACATTCAAAGTGCAACAGTTAACGTGCCTGTGGAATATATCACAGTAAAAAAAAAATATAAACAAAGGCAGTGATATAGCTGTCATAAATGTTTTGGCAGTATTCTAAAAGTCTATATAAAAATACTTATATACATATTGATGTATAACATCACCATATCTCACGTCCTTCTCCATGTATTAGGACCATTTTGTACAAGCTGCAGACCACACTGTAAGGAATTGGTTGGCCATTCCAAATCAAATGCTGTGATAGGCTAACACTGATTGTCATTATACAATTACCCTAGAGTAAGATTTGGGAATATGTTTTCCAGTGGCTTCTCAAAAATTAAGCCATAAACTAAAATGTTGGTAATACTGAAAATACTGTAAAACTAAAGGAATCATATCCTCCCCTTCTCCCTCTCTAATAAACCCCACTCTGCCTCTGCCTCTCATTCCAGTTTATAGGCAAGTTTATTGGATTCCACCCTGAAATGAACTGGGTTTGGCTAGACTCTTGCCACAGGTACACAAACACTCATAAGCGGATAGAAAATTAACTCTATCACTCATCATAAAGTGAGAAGGCTCTGGTCCACATCCACCATTTGGGTCTAGCCCCAAAGTATGTTGTGCAATACAGAATGAAATCAGTGAGGGGAAGGGGAGACCATGGGAAAATGTCCTTGTATTCCAGTAACTGGTATGGTAAAACATGCCAGGCCTGATTTTCAAACTCCAAAGAACACTGGGCCATGTGCAAAAATGCAGGTGAAATCACTTGCCTAATTTGAGCATGCAGTTGTAATGACTACACATGCAAATTAAGGCATGTGTGGTCTCAAATGGCCATTCAGATATCTGGGATATCCAATAGACAATTTGTGTTTCCTCAATTTATAGTTCATAACTGGAAGGGGACTTTATACCATCTTGTGTGTCCAGGCTATATCAAGAGTCTTTATATTTCACAGTTGTCCCCATATGGAGCTCAGAATGACACTCGGTATTGGTCTGTTGACTGCAGAGAAAGGAGAACATGTCATTCTCATGGTTTGTTATGATTGTCAAACATCACCAGGGCTGAAAATGCAGGTGCCTCACTTCAGGTCACGTTTCCACATCTGCAGGACATTTGTATATGGCCGCAGCCAGGTGACATTTTTGAAACTCAGAGCCAAAATTAGTTGCCTGTAGAAATGACAATATTACATTTATTTTTCTTCCATCCACAACCATCCACAAATGAAGTGATGGGGAGTTGTGTAGTTTTCCTTAGCGGCATTTCAAGGTAAAGTTCAGTTTGTTATTCAGATCCAGGTAGTGTGTGTTGTCAATTGCTGCTGGTCCATCTTTCATACTTCCTAGGAAGAATACTGCAATGCAGGGACGAGTTTGTACCACATTTGCATTGGTTCTGCCATACCAGATGCTGAGCGCGCCCTGTTAGGCACTCATCGCACTGAATTAGAGTTAAGTTCAAAAGATGAGCACCAGAAAGGATGGAGCCCTTTGCAGTGATGTACCTTTCTTTCACATGTAAGTCTTCCAAAACATAAAATATCAATAACAGTGATAGCAGTAATCATAATACTTTGCTCTTGTAAGTGGTGTCAAAAAATGACTATTGCAAGCTGAGAGCAGGTTTGTTTTCATGCACCTTCATCCAGAAAGCACACTTGAAGGCAATTATTATTTGTAGTTAGAGTTTGCAAAGGTAATAGTCAATTTTCTGCTCCTGTTTAAATTTCAAAACTAAGACAAGGATAGTTGTTGCAGAACTGTTTCTGCTTTTTATAATCTGGAGTTCAAGCCTGGGAGAGATGTCTTCTTTCCTTGAGCTGTTCAAAAATAAAATTGATTTTTCATACCTAAACATGGAATAAAATTTGAGAAACTTTGGAACACAAACAGTGGGATTTTGCTGCTGGTTTATCATAATCTTCCACCCTCCAAAATCCTGGAAATCTGGCATAAATTTAAATTTAAAAAAAATTTTTGAATGCTTAGAAGTTCATTTAATTGGAGGACAATAATTGCTTCCAGTACATCTGATTTAAAAAGCTGCTCTATTCAAAATAGAAAACTAAATCTTAGTGTATTACAGGATGTAATTCTTCTCCATATTAAAGTCATTTTAGCTAGTCAGAGTAATTATCATTCTCTTTGGGCCTGATAAATGTTGTTTCATCAAATTTTCAGGTTTCAGGTCGTAATTTTTTTCCTTGTACTTAATAATGTTTCTTGTGACTGTACTTTTACTGAAGGACAATGAATTATAAAATACAGGCTTAGTGTTACGGAAAACAGTAGTAGTATTATCATGAAAACAGCTATCTTCTATAGTTAATAAAGACTTACTAGGTTTCTAACGCCTATTATAGACTGGTTTTAATTATTATTATTATTATTATTCCCCTTGCATTAATGTTAAAAAGTAACATGTTTTGTAGTACCGGTCAGTTTTTTGTGGTTTCAGACCTTCTTGGTCCAAAAGTGGTTTTTGCATGTTCTTCGATTCACATGATAGTTCAACAGCAGCTGACACTGAGATTGAGGGAAAAAGTGCACAAAATTCATGGGTGATCTCTTCTAAAATCCATGAGTGTGTTTAATGTGCACCTCAAAAGATCCTTGAGCTGATAGTTATTTACATAATTACAATGATGAAGTATTGCTGCAGTGGAAATTCTATCCATCAAAGTCATAGGAATGCCCTTGAAACACAAAACTAGTCTGTTTATGGTCTTTCCGTCGTCCTCTACCAGTTGGAATGGCAAACAATGCTGAGATGCTCATAAAGTACTGCAAGAAGCAACACTAAAAAAATTCATCTTTGACAGTTCTCTTTCTTTCATTCTCAGGCTGATTCCTTTGCCCATCATTGGGCATCTCTCCGTACAAATCCATCTTCTCTTCACATCCTTGACATTGCAATGAAGTGGTTTTCTCTGTGTAGCAGAAGTCTGTAGACAGCACAGTAAGCTTCCCCACGTGCAGTTAGAAGGTGTCTGGGATTACAGGAAGCTGTCCTCTACCAGATCCGAGGAGTCAATCCCGATGTCATCCATCATGTCAATGTCCTCAATGGTCTCATCCTCTCTCTTGATAAAAGTAGAGCTACTGGAACCAGTTTCAATGGCACTTTCTTCAGATGTCTGTGAACTGGAAGAGACAAAGATCTCAGAGCTAAAATACACATTAAAAGGCACCAAATAAGTACCCCGATTTATGAACTGAACACCACATCTACACTTGCTTTCTGATGCATGACATAATCGTACTCTGACCATGTTTCCTAGGATGCAATACATCTTGTATCTCAAGGGTAATGAACCACCTTGAAATTCAAAGGAGGAAGTTGTTCATATGTACCTCCAAGCACTTTCTGACTCATTAGAAGAATATCATTATGACAACGCTGGGACAGTAGATTAGGTTGGGTGACAACAGATAACAATAAAAGCAGTAGACACTAAGATAATACGAAGAATTACAGATAGAGGTAATAAATTTTAATCTGGTTAGTGATCCTTAGAAATGTCATTTGTCACACTATTCAAAATAGTGCAAAAATTTCCAATGTGTGGCATGCAAGCTCTTGTTCATTGCTGACAAAAATACATGTTAATGGTGATAACTATGTTGAAAAACAGTGTTTTGCCCTGAGCACCACATCCAAATGGCTTATAAACACGTCCAGGGGTGGTCACTCAACCACCTCCCCAGGGAGCCTATTCCAGTGCTTAACAACCCTTTCTGTAAATAAGCTTTTCCTGACATCCAATCTAAACCTCCCCTGGTTCAAAGTCATTGAGCTGTAGAGGCAAATGTGATGTAAAATGTGATGTAAAAACTGCCAACTGAGCCATAAGACAGTTGCTATGACTTGGCCAAGTTAGCAGTTGCCTTCCTCTGGCAGTCACAGAAGAGCCAAAATAAGGTATTTCACATTGGAAACATTATGGCCAGTAACACTGCCATACTGTACAGAACCTTCCTAATGCATAACTCCAACAGAGCCTAGGAAATGAATTGTGGAGTAGGATTCTAAAACATATTAATGCATGTCACCAAATGCGACCCCGAAAGATGACCATGGGCTACCTGATTTGCAAACTGTACTCACCTGTGCCTGTTCCTTTTGCCAAGTTCATCTTCAGAAACAGGGTCAATGTCAGGCAGGGGGATGATGTACCCACTGTCAGCACTCAGCCTCTGCTCATCAAATCCGCTCTCTCTATCCTTTAACTTGTCTTCATTCTTGTAGGTGACACCAATGTAAGCATTGTCACAGTCCCCTCTCATTCGAGTGACAGCCGGGTGATCACTCTTCAGGAAGTCCAGGTGAATTTTCTCGTAGCTCTGAAAATATTCATTTCAACAACCTCATTAGATGTTATTTGCTAAGGCAACTTTTCTTCTGTTGAGTAGCTATTGATTCATTAACCCCCAAAACATTTGCTCAACGAGTCTGCAACATTGGATGTAAAAGCCCAGCACCACCAAGTTACTGAGAGTTCTAAGTGACAAGTTGGTTTTAGAAGATACAGGAATGAGTGTGGCAGAACATAACAGACAAACAGATGTGACATAGGGGTATAGAGAAAGAAGGAAGGGCAGACTGAGAAATGGAACACCAAATGATGTAGCAGGCAAAGCTTTTCCAGAAGCAGTAGAAATTTGAATCCATACTCAAACTTCTGTTGGAAGAGGGAGGGAGAGAAATTCTACATATGGGCAATATATAGTTCCTTTTCTGGAATACTTTCACTGCCTAGAAAATTCTATGAAAATATATTAAGAAAAACATGTTTTGCTAGAAACATGGAATTGGTAGGATATCACTGAATAAAACTGCAAAATTGCTTTTCTCAATAACCTCAGCTTGCTTTCCCCAGAACATGTAATGCCCCTGCCTGCATCATGTAACTCATACAGGTTAGGATGTGTCAGTCCAGTGTTCATGGCTCTGATAGATGGAGCAACAGTCACATTTCCCTCTAAAAACATGCACAAAATACAGACCTTTTTGTACTCTCCAGGCAACAAGCTCTCCACGATTTCACTCAAATGGTAAAATGAAGGTCTTTTCTCTGGTTCACTGTTCCAGCACTTTACCATGATCTCATACCTACAGATAAGATGGAAAACAATTTAATCAACTGGGAAGGAAAACAAGCTATCAGGCAAAAACAAAAGGCAAAATTGTCCAGAGGCTGGCCAGACATGGGAAAGCCAAATACGCACGTACACTTCATTGGTTGCATGATCAGGTTTTGCCATTCGGTAGCCACTCTTTATCTTATTGTAAAAAGTGGAGTCAACCATCATGCCAGGATATGGTGTGCCACCTACAGATAAAACAGAAGAAAAAAATACTATATAAAACTGAATTTAAAAATATTATTTTACATTGTGTAGCCTTGAAATAAACCACAGCTTATGATAATAAAAATGTTTGCAAATCCACAAATACCAACTAGCTAGTGTTCGCTGAACTAAATAAAGATGCTGACTTGGAGAAAAGAGACAATTCAATTGTCTGGTTAATACCCCACTGGGATATATTTTAAATTCCAGAGAGTGTTGAGGATGCCTATGAGCCTAGAAGGGTAAGATGCAAGTGGTTTTTAAAATCTTTTTGAGAACTGTTCAGAGGCTCATATAGTTATTCCAGTTATTGATCATTTTATGTTTTGTGGTGTGAGATAAGAACTTTAAAAGCAGCATTAAACAAGCCCGGAAGTTGTTGGCAGGCAAGTGTGCCTTCATGTATGAAATATTCTTTCCTCTCAATGAGGGGTTACTTGTACAGAACTGGAGCTTTGCAATTCACTGCTTGCAAAGTCCAGTGGCTCTAAAGTGGAACTTGATCATAAAATTGAAATATTGACATTTCAATGGGGAATGGTCCCCAGATAGCGTCCCCAAATACTTACTAGCTGCTCAGACCAAAGTTTGACATGACATCAAAATTAATGAAACTAAACCAAAGCTGACAAAAATAAATGAAGTACATTGTATTGCGTCAGCTGCAAGGTATTTCTGGTATTCTCTGAAGTGAAACATTGTCTAGAAAAGACTGAGGCTGGTACCACTTAAAAAAAAATCCCCTTGCAGTGTTTCTGAAGAGTACTGACTGAGCACAGAGTTTGCATGATATCCAGATCAGGTGGTCAGCCTGCATCTGGCAAACCTGAGGTCACGTTCTGCCACTGTCTTCCCACACTACTTTGAGCAAGTCACTTGCTTGTGTATGCTTCACTTTTCAAGAAAGAGTGGGCTTTCTCAGGTGCAGGCATGCATGCTGTAATGTTTACTCCAAAGACCTCCATTTCAAAAGCAAGGTTTTCACCTAAAAATAGGCTTCAGATCCTACCTTACAGGTAAGACAATGAGCACAGACTTAGTTGTGCTTCAATTCCACATCTAAATAATACTTCTGTGACCCCAGTGATGCTTGTGAATGGATATTTATAGGGTCCTGTGATGTCCAGAGATTGCAGTTATCAATACTATAAATAGGAGTGCAAATGCTGTTTTTTAAAAGCAGCTCAATAACAACTTATTCTAGAAAATAATGTTAGGCTTGGGGTTGCCATGGGGCAATAGCAGATACATACAGGCGTGATTAATTCTGCTCAAAGTAAATCTGGGCAAAGCACACTTACTGAAGCAGGCCAGCCACCCGCCCAGGAGGCTAATTAATCAGCCTGAGTCGAGAGCCAGGCTGCTCCCAGCTGGGAAATGTATATTGTCTGTAACTGCTAAACACTGTCATAACCACTTTACGCTGCCATAAACCAACTGTGAGAATGGTGCTGACCTGGAAATGAGAAATCAGTGTCCCAGAAGATTGACATTTTGTTTTCACTCTGTAATGGGGTTTAGATGGGATCTTTTGAAACATATACAAAGAGATTGCTTCTAAATAGCCACTTGGCTGAGATGCAGCAAAGGCACCCTGATGCATGAGGAAGTTCATTCCTCCACAATTTGGCCAGAAATTCCATCCTGGCACCAATACTTTTCCACAAAAGCTTTTCACTCTCTGCTTTCAATTTTCTGTTGCAAAACAAACAAAAACAACAACAACAAAAAACCTTGCAAAATAAACAAATAAATAAATAAAACCAAATCTTTTGGAGAATAGGGACTTCTTCAAACTTAATGCTGGGACTTGAAACCTCATGTAGAAGAAACTAAAAGTTGATTTCACACCTATATTCCTACTGTAAGATTTGAAACGCTGTATGTAGAACAGCTTGGACTGAAAAAAATTAATTACAACGTAAGAAAGTGTTCACAGTACATACCAAGAGAAAATATTTCCCACAGCAGAATACCATAAGACCAGACATCACTTAACGTTGTGTACAGATTGTCAAAAATGCTTTCAGGTGCCATCCATTTTACTGGAAGGAAAGTCTGCAGCAGAAAGAAATAAACCCCAAACCACATAGATTAGTCATTAAAGAAATGCTTCCTGTTACAACTGTTGTTTGACAGTCGGATTAGCTTCTCTTTAATAAGAAAAACTTGTGAATGTGGCTAGTAAATATTTTTAATTCCATTTCACAAGGAGATATCAGGATTAGAAGCAACCCTACTCTGATCCCCACAAGAGTTTATTAAACTACAACTGTATTCATTTTCTCACTAGTAAATGACTAGGCTGATTGGATGTATAATGCAAAGGGTGGTACTGATGTCCTAGATCTGATATGTCACTGATGGATGTGTTACCACTCTACATAGTGACAGATCCTTAATTTATCCACTCACAAAACTTGCCAGTTAAAGTGTAAGCCTGTGAAGCACTAAGTGAGGCCAAAGAACTTTCCAGCTTTCAAGCAATCTTAGGAAAGTCACAAGAATTAATGAACTGAAGAAAAATTGTTCTCAAGAGTGCTCATCTCAGCAGTTAATTAGTGTAACCAATACTGCTAACAGGCATTTAAGGCTGACATTTCTCATTGCAGTTAAAGCAAAGCTCAGGAGATTAAGAAATACATACGCTGCCCTTGGAGACGTAGTTGGAATCATGCATGATGTCTCTAGCCAACCCAAAGTCACAGATCTTCACGATTTTGCCTTGAGCCAGAAGGACATTACGAGCTGCCAAGTCACGGTGTACACACTGCATGGAGAGAAATTAAGTCTTTCAAGGAAGTGCTAATTCCTAGAAGGCTGTTTCACTTCCAAAACTCTCTGAAAACACCCAGATCATGTTGGCTTTCTGGGCACAGTCTTAACTTCTTCTACAGTTCTTAACCTTCTTCTACTGCACAGGCACCGATACTGTCCTCTAACAGAGTCATGGAATCATGAGTCCTCAGAAACAGAGGGGGCTCGTGTGCATTTACAACAGTGGGAAGGATGCAAAAGTGATGCCTGTCCTCTCCACCCACGTTGTGCTAATGATAGTTTGTGCTTGCACCACACTGGCCTGTGCTTGGATGGATCCTCCACCTAGACCCTGCTGAGATCCACCACTGACCTATGTCCCTGACTTTACCAATGACACAGGCTGAAAACAAGGAAGAAGATGTTGCTTTGATTTCTCAAATCATGGCAATCTCAGTCTCCAGGTAAGTTAAAAAGCTGGCTAGAACCCCAAAACACGATTATATTGTATTTGTTTTCAGAATCTAAACTGAAACCCATAGTTGAGACATTTGGACATTTCTTGCATTTTTACTTACTGTTTTATTTACTTACATTTTTAGAAGCCAAGAATTCCATTCCCCGTGCAACCTGGTAGGTGAAGCTTAGCAAATCCAGTAGGCTCAGACCCTCCGAACTGTCATCTGAAAGAAGGTTTTTTACTTCTGATTCTATTGAAAAACAGAGAAAAGTATATATACATTTGTGCTGCAAAGTGTGAAAGCAGCATCCATTTCCTCTACCTGTCATGATTCTGAGCTGATGACTTTAGCAGGCTGCCATGACCAAAACAGTCTTCACAATAACTAACCAATGATGATGTCTGCATCAGTTGCTGACATACGTTGCTTTTAGTGTTAAATATAACTTCTGTTTTTTCTCCTGTCTGTATTTTTTTTCCCACAAAATTGCAGGAAAAAAAGAAATTTAAAAGGCTCACTGAAGTGTTACACAGGTTGTTTTAATACTCAGTGTGTGGTTCAAAAACATTCACCAGGTTTTTTTGCATACACATACATTCTTATCCACTTACGCTCTCTGAACACTGCTGTATTTCCCAACGAGTATTCATTGGAACAGATCCAATACCAGCAAAAACGATCAGGAATTCTATGGCAACTAATCTTATATTTTTATGAAAGATGTCGGCAAAAAAACAGTCATGATTCTGTGATTCATTTATCCCTACTGTCCTAGAGCACAATATGAGTACATTAGTCTGCCATGTAAATCTGGGGCTGGCTATGCTTCAGTTCCTGGGGCCTAGAGCCAGAAGTGACTGTGCCTATTTTTAAGTAAAGCATATTTAGATTCTGAGAAAAGGAACAGGGAATAGGATGTATTCATTATCCTCATTACATAATCCAGGAAAGTATTTGGGATTGTTGAGCATTTGGTGTCAGTTAATGTGAAATGTAAGTGGAAACAGAGCAATATAAATTGCCATTATTGTTGTTCATTCCTACTGCTCAAAATCTTGCAGACTACAAGACTAATGAAACCACTGCCTCCAAAGAATGTCTGCAGCCCCACTGCAGAATATGGCCCCTAAGCACTTCAGTACAGAAGCAAACAAATTGCCCCAGCAGCACGCTGTGCCACCAGAGCACGCTGACAGCCACAGAATCACAGAATCATAAGGAACCAGCTTTTAGTTATAGTTGATGCTCATATGCAGAACACAGTTGAGTAATTTACAGCCATGTCGTAAGTGGCAAAAATTAGACATGTTTATTTGTGTTAGTGATGCATGCAAATAGGACAACTCTACGTTACCTGACAAAGATTTCTTCTTATATGAAGCAGGTCGATCATATACAGATCTCTGAATATCAGAGTATTTAGATCCCTCTTTCCTTTCCAGCATTGGCACATACTGAGTTGTATCAGCTTGTTTCATGTCCATGTATTCTCCAGTGTTTTCAAATGATAAAATCACATAGCTGAAATTTAAAAAAAAAAAAAAAAAAGCAACTGTATCAGCTATCAGTATCAGCTATCAAGGAAGGTGGCTTCCCTGCCATAGCATCCTATGTTCTGATAGTTACATACAGTTGCACTGCTAAGAAATACAAGGGTTTAAGAGCTGATTTATTGATAGGGAACACACATAATAATCCTGCATTACAACGCAGCAATGTATTACCACACACACGTTACCACAGACTATAGTAGTCGAACTTATACAAGTGCTTCAAACTTGTCCTTTTGTCATCAGTCAGGTATATAGACATATCTGGCCTAACTTCCAGCAATCGCACTGAACTCAGCTATTACTACATAGGGTGTTTAGTTCAATGAGTTAAAAAAGACAGATTGATTTATTCACTCACACAGTTTGCATCAAACCCAGTCAAGCTGAGCAAACCCATGCTTAGAAGAATAGTCCCAGATGGACTGAGCTACTGAGTCAGTTGGTCTATTTGCCAGTGTGGTTTTTTGAAGGAATTTCTGACCCCTTCTTAAACCTGGCTGATGTTATGACATCGCTTGATTGTTTAACGCATAATGACAAGCTTCCTCCACCATCATCTGGCAAAAGCTGCTCGAAACAATACAATGAGACTAGCTAGACCATTGGTAGATAAAGGAGAATGCTTGAACACAGATAGCAAGCTCTGCTGCATTATTTGAAGAAAAGGAGTTTTAAACAGTGAAAAATTCCTGAACAGGAAACAAGGAAATCAGATATCTGAGCTCTACCTGTAATACTTGGATGGACAGAGACAAAAGGACGTCTGTATAGAAAGGAGGAACACTAGGCTGTGCTTTCTTAATGGAAACATGCTTTGGGACCTCAGGGTCAGATAGGGAAGAGGGAATGGAGAGACGACATTGACTGTGGGCTCCAGAAATGCTGGAATAAGGCAGGTGCAGGGCTACTGTTGTCTTGTAAAGATAATGGCTTTTCCTCTAAATCCGTATATCTCTCACACTACTTTGAGCAGAGTGAAATTTGTTTAAAAGGTCTGCAAATCTGTTTGTGTGTTGTGTTCTCCCATGTATTTTATTTAGAAGGAAGACTGTAAGCAGCTGTGTCTATGGAGAACACACAGTGGTCCTGGGGCTGTGGGCATCTGCACAGACGAAACATGGTTCTAGGATGCATGTCAGGTGTATTGAACAGAAGCCACTGAAATCTTTTTAGATCTAACATTACTTATAAACAAAAGCCCATTGAGATGAATTAGGGAGAGCTCCAAATCAAGGAATGAAAGAAAAGGAATAAGAGTTAGTAATGCTATTCCTTACGTTGTAGGTCATACATTTTTTTCCCCTCTTTCCCACCTTCTTGTGCTTTCATCAGCTGGGTTCATCCCAAAAATATCCAGATCTTTCTTTGGTTTCTCTGGATGTCGGCTGAGGAAGTTGTCCCTGTTCTTGTGCAGATAGTTCACCAAATCACCATAAAAGCAGTATTCGGTGATTATGTAAATAGGACCTGATGAAATAAGGCAAAATAATGCATCTTTCAAAAATGACAGCTCCCAAAGACAACAGAAAATCAAATATAAAACATGGAGATTACTAGGAGTTAGTACATTTCAATTGATTAAGTTATGACTGTAATTACTGCCAAGTAACAAGTAGGCTTGTGAAATCTCATATTTATTTATATTTAATGTTAAGGTCAATCACATTTGATATTTGTGTGATTGTTAAACAGTGAATGACAACTCCACAACAAGCGTCCATTTAATCAGCCAAACTCACCTGATTTTGTACAAGCTCCAAGCAGGTTCACAATATTCAGGTGGGGCCCAAGATGTGTCATTATCTTCAGTTCAGACATGAGTGCCTGTTTTTCACTGGATCTAGCTGTAGCTGTTGAAAAAGTACACCCGCCACTGAGTGAGAGCAAGCACCATCTTCACAATAACAATTGATCTCTCTTTGCTTGCCTCAGAAGAGCATTTCTAAAATGATTTCTTGAAGAAGACTGTGTCCTTTTCTTGACAATAGGACATCTTAAGACTTGGAGAAGAGTCATAAGTCATAGAATCATAGAATCATTAAGGTTGAAAAAGACCTCTAAGACCATCTAGCCCAACCATTCATTTACCATTAATTTTGCCCACTAAACCATATCCCCCTCCATGATTCTTGAACACCTAATGAACGACCATCAGCTCTGCTGATGGAGGCCTCTTCTATGGAGCAGAAGATACAAAAGGTAGGAGGAAGAAAATAAAATGTCCTGGTTGAGAAGCATTGTAAGTAACAAAAGGGCTTCAGATATCCATCAGAAAAGAGGACTTATTTGATCTATCTCTAGAGCTGACCCAGTCTGTTTGCCCTTTTCCAGGGGTACATTAGATTGCCTATGTAGCACAGAGGCACTTTGCAAGCTGCTTTTTTCAGCACTAGAAAGTTCCTCATGGTTCTTGAGCAACTGGTACAAACCAGCTCCATCCACACTGCAGGTAGATTTGAAGGTTCAGATATAGAGAAGCAATTTATACACAAGCAGTGCTCAAATAATGTAATGGGAACATGCACCAACTAGAATGGAAAATGGAATGGTGATAACTTACGTTTCAGCATTTTCACAGCTACTTTCATCACTGGTTGAGAACGACTCAGTCCATATGCTGTCCCTTCCACCACTTTTCCAAATGCACCAGAACCAAGGATTCGACCTGAACACAAGAAAGAGCATTATTAATTCCAGTGTGTAACAGCAATTTGCCTCATTTTCTGCTGCTGTTCTTCTTTGGGCTATGAGTTCACTCACTTAGACAGAACATTGATGTTAATAAAAATAATAATAGTAATAATAATAATATGTCATGTTGTTAAACAGAAAATGCAAATATATTTTAAAGAAATTAAGTACAGTTCCTAAATAAAAGCAAGCAAGCAAGCATTAGAAGCACATCTATATGTGGGATCTTGTAGGAGAAAAGCTCTGGGAAACAGTGCAGTTCGTTTGTCCCTTATTCTGCCATTCCACCCTCACCCTCCCTAAGCACTGAACTTGCTATGCCTAAACTTGCCTCAGTCGGTATCCGACTACAGCACAGTTGTGGCCTTCACTTCAGATCTGAACTAGGCTCTCCAGCTGCGGTTTTAGGCTGCTATATTGATGCTGATACAGCTAGCAACAAGACAGGCTGACGGGAATCAGCAGAACATTTAGAAATAGACAAGCGGGACCATCAGTAATCTGAAGGAAGCTGAAATACATATTGATCACATATGAGGGAAACTCCTCTGAAGTTTAACGTACAAGTGTGTTTCATCTGGTCGAATAAATTTTATTGCAAATTTCCAAGTGCTATGATGAAACAGCTAATGTTTATACATATTTACTCTACCCACAAATCAATTTAGACAAAAAGTTTTGATAATTATATCCTGTCTTCTATTATGGATGCAGCATGCAGAAAAATTGTGTATAGATTGAGCACAATTCTAGAGAAGTATGAATTGCACAAACATAATCCAAAATACTATAATTCATTGATTCCATATCGGACAGCAAGTTCATTAAGGCAACGTTTATTCAGTGAACAAACCCCTATATGAGCTCCAGATGCCAGGACATTTTCATATTCCCAATGAGCTCTTTCATTTCTTTTTTTTTTTTTAAACTTCCAACATGAGGAGACTATATAGGGCTTTTTACTATGGAGATAAATGGCATTTTGTCTATGATGTTCACTTGCAGTTTGAACTTTCTGCCTTTTAAGCATCTGAAGGTGTTATATGGCATGCAATACCACATGTTTCTGTTATCCTAAGGCTACAGCCCACACTTTTATTGTATACACTCTATAGGGAAAAAGTTTCCAGCCAAAAATAAATATCTACATCATTAGCAAACACAAGAAATGGTGTGCGCTTAGATGAGTTACAACTAAGAACTTCTCCAAGATCATGACAGTGTAGTTTGTCATGCACACAAAAACCATGCTGTTTCTTCTCAAGATTCCTGTGCTCCAAGTTATTCTTTCCAGTCAGTCAGGATGTGAGAAATCTTCCCACTAAATTTCAGACTAATTCAAACAACCTGAAATTCGGCCCCTGAAATTTTTCAGCCTGAAAATCTGGGAGCCACATGGCAGGATGCAGCCCTTCAGAAAGTGATCGCATTTGCTGATGCTCCTTGATCTTCTTGTCTTCACGAGCCAATTCCTCCCCAAACCATGAGACACACATCTCCCTCCCGTCCCTCAGCCCAGCCTGAGTGCATTCAGAGGCAGGGGGAGCGCTTCCGGAGTGGCAGGGAGCTATTGCTGCTATTCCCCTTTTCACCCCTCTCCACGCACATCCCATCTGCTCTGCACTTGAAATTCAGAGCCAGGTGGGAGCTAACTGCTTACAAGTTGGAGGCATCTGTAAGGCAACCAGCTCCATCACATTCTGGATATCAAGGCCTTCAGCAGAGACCAAAATTAAATTGTGTATTTATTATTCTTAGTATAAAGGCACGACTGGGATCTGCCTGCTGGAGGAACAGGACTGCTTCTCTGTGACAGAGGGACTGTGCAGACAGCATCACTTCCAAGCTCCTGAAGCTTCTAGAGGAACTGTACTCGGGGTGAGAGCTAATTTTAGTCCAACCTCTGCCCAGGTCTGCAATGTCTGCTGAGACCAGCGCAGAGGTGCCATATTTCTGATCTAGAGGACACACCTACAGAAATGAAGTCCCAAACATGGTTTTCTTGACTAGACTGTTCTTTGGCTAAAATTAAACTTGGATTCACCCCATACTGAACCAAACTTTCTTGACAAATACCAAAAGCCAAACAAGCTTTATAACCTATACCTGGCTTCCAGACTCATGAGAAATTAGGTACCACATCCCTAAATGCGATAAACCTTGAACCTTAACTTGCCTTTTGCAAGCTGAAAATGGAGATGGGTCTGACTCTATTAGACCAGCATTTCATTTGATGAAGTCCACTGTGACAAAAGGGAGGGTTGTTAGGAAGTGATGGGAGCAACTCTGCAGCCTCTACTGCCATCCCAAAACCCTGGGATCCCACAGCACTCAGGTCCCTCTCCTCAAAGGGCCCTGGCCTCTGCCTCCCCAGCAAAGGAGGATGTCCTGCAGGGAACCTCACTGCTTCTCAGCAGTGCCAGGGAGAATGGCACACAAGCAGCTCACTGCATTATCCAATTTCTTGTTGTTGCACATCCCCTAGTCCTGTGCTGGCTGCTGGGTGTTTTAAATAGCAGAGCATTACACACATAGTGGAGAGGAGATAGCAAAGGGAAATGTGCAGTGTAACTCTAATTTATTAATGGTAACTCCAGCCAGCCAACGTTCAGAGTTGGCATTTAATGCTGCTCTAAACTCCAGGCACTACTAGCTGGAAAAAAAAGAAAGAAGAAAAACTATACACACAAATAGACACCAGCTGGCTTACTCAGCTAGAGTGGGAAGCACTCATCTGAATGAGCCAAAATGTTTTTTCATCCTCCTTCTGAGCCTCCTTGAGTTAAAGGTGTGATTCCTTTGCTGCCATCTTCCACTTCAACAAGGGAAAACCCACATAGACCAGAATTACCAGATTTAGAAACAAAACAGGTCCCCATCAGCCTGATAGGAAACATTTAAAAAGGCAGAACTACCAGCAGAGAAATGTTAACCATGTCAAGAAGAATGCTTGAACAGTCCTGTTTGCTAGCAGGACAAGTAGCAACCAAATTTAAAGCTCTGACTGTCATGAATGTACTTGAAAACAGGAAAGCACTGAAGGAGACTGGTGCTCATGAGTCAGAGGTAGACAAAGTCACAGCGGTGGTCTGTTAACTCAGATCTGACAAATCCTATTTAGGCAGACAATTAAAGTCTGAATTGTAATAAAATAATTCCATTAAATATTCACCCTCTCCTAGTTTTCAATTAGCAACATGAATTTAATCAAAGGAAGTCATTCCTGAACCAGAAAAAATTGTGCCTCTTCTTTTAAGAATTAGCATCAATTCTTTCTCTATTGTGGGGCAAGGAGAACAACAGCAGGGGAATGCATTCTGTAAACAGCATCGAACACAAACTCTCCCTTCAGTTCTCTTCTGCATTTTTTGTATGCAGCTTGATGCATGGACACCTCCAAGAGAGGGCTGATTTGTGCACTTAAAGCACTCTCTGGATAGAACATTAAAATTGTTTATAGTCACTACAGTTTCAACTGATATAAATGACAAATCAGGCCAGTTAGCTGAATTCTGTATGAACTGTAATGCAGGGACAACAAAACAAGAAAGCAAAGGCGGAAGGAAGAAGGGCACAAGCCACAAAAACACATTATGCAGTTACTCAGCAATTACACATGCGCATCATGGATTAATAATTTAAAAAATATTTCTAATAAAATTATATAACTACTTGCAGGTTTTCCTTGGCCTCTCCACATAAACATAAATGTCTTGCAAATTAAAAATACTGATTCACTTCTTGTGAGTGTCTTAGCAGCAGTGACTGTTGGAGCTGGAATTTAACCCTGGCAAAGGACCACTTAAGTCACGTTGAGATGGGCACTGCACATCTGGAGCACTGCAGTGCTGGAATGAAGGTGTAGAAAACACTAACATGAGTTGCTCCAGGCTGACACCAATGCAGAAGAAGGGGATGTGGAAAGAGAACAATGGAAAACAGATAAAGAGAGACTCTGCCCTTCATGGCCATGAGGAAACTTACCAAGCACTAACCCATCTCGAGGAAACTCCCATCTGGAGTCATAAGGTAGCTGCATTGGGTCCACATAAATGTATTCATGCCCATCAGGGCTGATAGATTCAATGACTCTCCATCTTATCTCATACCTTGGCTTCTGCAAAGCATATTGAATATAATCATTAGTCTTATGTCTGACTTGGGATCAAAACCCAACTGGGCTCAGCATCCAAACTGAAATATTTCTTTCTAGATTACCTGTTTCCAGATGATGACCAGGACAATCAGTGAAATTATCACAATCACCAACAGTACTAAAACGGCAGCAGCCACTGTCAGTTCTGATCGCAAGGCTGTGGAGTAAAAAGACAGGCCATATTTTCTTCCTGAGCCATGAAAGCATGACACACATCTCCCACACCTTTGTAGTTCCCATATCCTACAGAAGTGGAAATAGCACTTGGGCTGGTGACTGTTAAGCCTCTCTGAGCCTCTCAGAGCTACAGTCTTTGTTTAGAAGAACAGCCACTCATAATAAAATGATAAAATGAATCAGATATTCCATAAAGACTTGTAAAATGCCTCATTCTCAGATGTTCCTGGGTGGATAAAATCCATTTTCATTTATTTTTATTTGCAGCAGTTTATGTTTTTATCTACTAAACTTTCTTATAGACTAAAATAAGGTGTGTTAGCAAGAGGTCAAGCTGACTGCTGTAATCTTACAGAAGGACAAAGCAAACTCACTGGGAGCCACAAGTTTCAGTTCCCGAGTAACAGCACCAAGGTCGTTTCTTGCTACACATCTCACAGCCAGGGTTTCCTCTATCTTCTGGAAGGTCACCTGGCTTTCCACCATATTCTTCTCATCCAGGTGGGCTTCCATGTGTATATCAGAGATATTGTTAGTCAGAAGAGTCCAGGAAGTGTCATTGCTGCATCTGCAGAGAGTAACAGTGGAAACACTTGTTGGGTGTAGGTGTGGATAAAGAGTCACCACAATAGGAATCATCTTTTCCCATGTGTTTTTTCTATCAATTATAATTTTAAAGACCAGGAATGCTTAAGACCACCTCTGTGAAAAGCCTGCATCGTCCTCCCATTGGAATTATCAGCCTTCTGGTCCTAACTATTGATGACACTTTGAAAATTTGATAATGTAGGCCAGTGGGTTCAGCAGAGATTGATCTTGGTGATGCTAGGTATCCTGTAGAGTTATAGCAGTGGATGGATCTCTACTTCTACCTAAATCCTTCATGCCATACAAGGCTTCCTGAGGCAGGGCTAAGAGGATGACTGTCCCAGGTGGCAGGAGGAGATTTTAGTGCAATGGGAGTGGAGCACAGATGGGAGGTCCCAGGGCTCCTAGACTCCTTCCATGTTTAGTCTCCTTCTCCTTGGCATACACAGCCTCCCAGAGAGAGCTCAACAGCTCCCAGCAGCTACAGAAGGAAATAGTCTAGAACCAGCAAAGCCAGGAACAATTACTACATATGTCTAGAACACTTAGAAGGTGACAATTATAATCTGGGGGGAAATTGTTCAATTGAAAATTTAGAAGCATGCAAGAGTGTTAATGAGGCATCTGAGCTACCTGTGAAGTAGCAGGAGCCCTCAGAATGGAGGGACAGGTACCTTTAAGATCTACTACATTCAATTAATGAAGACAAAGCTTTCATCAAAGTTATATGGATGCACTTTGTATTCTTCTATTGCACATCATCACTAGGAAGGGTACTGAAAACCTCTCAAAATATAAGCAACGTGTCTCTGAAAAAACATTAGAATTATGTCTTACTGGCCCTTGTTGAGGAAAACATGGTACGATAACTAATAACGTTAAGCTAGCCAAGAACAAAGCAGTCGTGTTTTAGATAACAGAGCTCCTCTTCTTACTTTTTAATGTCCTTGCAAACCAGCCATTCCACATCAGGAAGCGGGGTTCCTTCAGCCAAGCACCTCACTGTCTGCCTGCCAGCAGAGCCTTGGTGGTCGTCCATGAGGTCTAAGATCAAGGCTGGAACTGGAAAGGAGTCAGGAATTCGTTAAAACATTCAACAGAGTCTAAAAAAGCAGCCTGGAATCTCAAACAAAGCAGGGCAGGTATTGTTTGTCTGATAGCTTAGTGGCAGCTAGAGCCACTTGGCCAGGAGGTTCCTGTCTGCTGAGGAACATGGGGTATCCCAGGCTGGAGCCATGAAAAGAAAGTGCTGTGTGTATGCCACGTCCTCATGTCATGCTAAATGAGTTATCGTTCCCGCTGTCAGCTGGAATAACTTAGACGGGAGGATAAAGTTTCTTTCTGGCACAAGGCCAGTGCAGAAGTCAAAGCCAGGATTAGAGTACAAGAGCTGTGAGGACTCAGCACACATGCACTGCTCCAGAAACCCCAGTTCACACTTCTCTTATCTCCATAGCTCAGGCAATCCAGTACTCGTTGGTGAGTAAGTGGATCAAGTTTGTGCTGTGGCCCATCGGTTCTGGTGAGCAAGGCTTTGGGAGCCCTTACCTTGTATTAGCAACGAGAAGGTGTATCTCTTAATCTCATCTTCATTTTCAGCAACCAAAGTATAGTACCCGCTGTCTTCTTCCTTGGCCCGGATCAATTTTAGTACACTTTGAAACCTGCAGAAATGGGAGTTTTGGTTTGTATGTTTGTATGTTTGTATTTTGTTCGTATGTTTAGAGCAGGCATAAAAAATCTACTTCAATGCAACATATAATCTGGATACGTGGATATTATAATGTGCTGACACTCAGCATTTCTGGCATGCCTTTGCACTAAAATCATTGTTCAAACAGTAAACAGTTACCAGAACACAACCAAGAAAGAAGTAGGCATTATTATATTCTGCTTAGCTCCAACGAAGACTGTGATTTTTCTGGAAATAGCGAAAGATTATTGGAGTGAAGATTTTTTTGAGGGACTGAAGAGGGTTAGTACCCAGAATCCAAGATTTGTATGGTTTGGAGATGTTATGCTATTAAGCATTACCCTTTAGAGCAGAAAACACAGGATTTTTAAATGTTATTGAGGAAGAAGCAACAAACTGCAGTGGAAAGAGAAAGCAGAAGTTCTCAGGTTTCTAGGGTTTCTCAAGCCAACGTGGCAAAGAAAGATTCATAAGAGTATTTTTACCGTGTTTCCTGGACCCTGTTTGAACTAGTAACAATCTCAGTAAGATTTTCAATCAGAGTCACATTATCCTTCAACCAGTACATTTTTGGAGCGGGGTACGCCTGCACATCGACGACAAAATTTTTGACTTCATGTAGATTGACAGCTTCCAAAGGGCTAAACTGAGGCTCTAGATGAATGAACCCTTTGTCTGTAAATGAAAAAGCCATGCATGAACAATGCTGTGCAGCATTTTTCAAGAAGAGTGTTTTCTAACACATTAATAATTTTTGGACACTGAAATCAGACTATACCATGAACTGTAATGACTACTTTCTTATTTTCCTTAACCTCCTTGGTTGCATGTCGAGCAGTACATTCATAATCCCCTGTGTCTTTCACTGATGCGTCAGGAATGGTCAACGTGTAAACCAACTTCTGCGATGGGACTTTGATATCATCAAGTTTTATCAGACCTTTTTCTTTCTGTAGTTTGGAGAAGGAAAAAAAAAACCTTACTTAAGTAAATAAGCTGAAAATTGAGGATTTATGATGCCACTGGAACAAGAGCAACCATCTAAACCTTGTAGGTCAGAAGAATTGTTTATTCAATCAGGGATATATCTTGAAGCCACAGGCATAAAAGGTCTGTCTATAAAAACAATGTCCTTCTGGGGGCAGCCACAGACCAGTGAGGAGATTTAGAGCTCACATTTTGTTAATATGAAACAAAATATCATGCAAACTTTGGGTGAGCAGCCTGAAAGTGCTGATTCTGCTACTTTCTCCTCAGAAAAGCCGAAGGACATTTTTTGAATTTTCCTTCTTTAGCTCCCCTAAAGAAGGGTGAAGTTTTATCCCCTCCACCAGACAAAAAGTAAGCATTTATTAGATGCTTTGTCCTCCCTGTTCTCAAAACAAGAATAATTTGTTGGTAAGAGAAGAATCCTGCAAGAGTAAGGATGAGGAGAATGGTCAACCATGAGAGGCTAGAATAAAAAACATTTTGCAGATAGTTTTGGAAGATGGCATATAGCAGAGGCTTCAATGTTTAACATAGAAAACAGAACAAAATCTAAAATCCTTTTTTCTTTTTGGATCTTAATTGACTCAAATACAAGCTGCTATTTGGGATCACGAGTCATTTCTACTGCTCCATGCTCTGAATTACCAGATTTTTATATGGGATGCTGTGGAATTGACAGAGACACTAACCAAATTTCACTGAATAAAGATGTTAAGCAGGTTTGAAGAGTTCTGAGGCTGTCTCAAAGTTTTAAGACTTTCTTACAACATTTTTCTCATATGTTCTTTTTTTGTTTGAAAGTTCTCTTTAGTGAGTAATTACCCTGACTGTAAGAGTCATTTAATTTACGCTGGCACAAGATGCAACTAAGGCTCTGAACTTGATTCCCCACCATTCTATATTATGCTGAAGAATCCAGGATTTAAGAGAGCTATTTTAGAGATTCACACCCTCAGCAGTAGGTGCAGATGTCTGACACATTCCTAGATCTTTCTATTTCCACAATATTTCTTTTTCTGAGCTACCACAAGACCTGAGAGGCAGCATTCCTCCCTCTGCACATGGGCTCCCAGTCACACCTCACCTTCCTCTCGTGCTTTGCATACTTGCTAACAACACTCTAACTTTCGATACCGCTTTCTTCTGTGGTACCCTGAAAGTAAAATAAATTACTTTGTTTTTCTTTCCTCAGCTGTCCTCATTCAGAGCAGAGATTATTTCCAGTCCCACCTTCTTCCTAATAAGTAACTATAAACATCCAAACAAACAAACAAACAAAAATTAGAGAGAGATTTACCACTTTGCCGGGATAATTCCACTGTAAATTAACCACCTCGTTGTCAAAGACCACACAAGTTACTACGATGGTCTCGCCTGTTTTGTAGACAGTTTTCATAGCTTCAATTTCAACTGGCAGCTGTGAAGTAGCTAAGAGAAGAGAGAGAGTGCAAATTTAATTTAAAGTTATGCAATTGCTAAGCGAGCTAGGAACTAAAAGTGACTATAAAAAAAAAAATACCTGCAGGAGCAAGGAGTATCAGAGAAGTATATGAAATAAACCCATGATGCTGGTGCTAATATAGCTCTTATATATGAGAAAGGAACTGGCCTACACGTTATTTCTCAGGTTGTTATTTCTTTTTTTTCCAAATGAAAATAAATAAATACCTCTTAAAATATAGATGAGGAACTCATCGGACTTGAACTCCATGCCTTTAACCATTGTTTTGCATGTGTATGGTCCTGCAAGGAAGTTCCCTACGAAGCCTTGTTTGCTGTCATAGAAAGCATAGACAGGCTTGTCTAAACTGTTAACCAAAGTCACTTCAGCACTTGGGTCACTTGTCCGACAAGGGATAACGGTGGGATCACCTTCTTCTACTAGGATGAACTGGTCTTCTGGTAAGGAAGGAACAAAAGGCATGTCTGGGTCTGTAAGAAATAAGAAATAAGTTTATATCACCTTGTTTTTTTAAAGTCCATGTAGAGGAATTGGATGTCAATGACTATGTATAGGACCTAACTGAAATTAGTACAGTAGAAATCAGTTTTGGTGTTGCTTATATGACTAATGCTATTAACATCACAACTTCAACAAAAATACTTCAGGATGCATCTCTTCATGCGTTTCTAACATATCTGACATTGCAGTCATGAGACATAGTTAATTATGGTCACAACGTGTGGTTTTCAGACTGTGGTATCCAGCCATAAAAAAGCAAACAAACACCTGGTAATTTTAGTTCTTTTAAAGTCAACAAAATACATGCCAGCTTTCCTATCCGGCCAGTCCAAAGACTGAGTTCAAAACATAATTGCATAACATATCAAACATAAAAAGCAGAGCCCTCATATTATCTGCGCTTGGCCATTTGGAATAAACAAATAATCCCTGCTAGCCTGAAGCTTCTGTGTGAAGCTTTATAATGAAATTTAATAAACAGCAATATAAATCCCTCCAACAATAGTATTTATGCTGCACTGGCAGGCTCTTTGTAACAATAGTCCAAACACAGTTCTCTATCCCAAACACCCTGCCAAATCCATGTATTCATTTTCCTGACTTAATTTGAAACAGAAACAAGATTCACCTAGTTTAGTTTTCTCTGCGCTTTTAGTGAAACTAGGATATTGTGTGAAGTCTCAAAGTAATCTTCCTTGGCCAAAGTGGGTTGCTGCCACCCATTGCCCTCCTAATTAATTGCAGGAAAAACAATTGTAAAGACAGTTTATAGTGGAAACAGAATCATTCTCTGTAATTTGGAGAAAAGGATATGTTTCTGCATTTATGACATCTTCATGTTTGGTGAGTGGAAAAAATTACAGGGTGTCTCTGCCTTGCATAATGTGGTAGGCTGAAATCTACACGCTCTTCAAAATCAAACCAAAGAACCTCTTCTTGAGGAAATCTTCCATCTCTTGCCTCTGTATCCTTTTACTAGGTGAATTACAAGCCTACTTAACAACAAAATCTTTTGGTGATATGGGTAGACCTGGTTGGAAATTGAAATGCATGTGCCAAAGCCTGAAACCTCTTACTACTTCAAAAATGAATACAAATGTTTTAAGTTTATTGTGGGAAATGTAGAGAAAGTCTTGGAAGAATCACTGCATTCAAATCACACATCATGAACTGTAAAAACTTAATACCACTTCAAAATAGCCTTAAAAAAGCCTCATTATACTTTCCTGCCCTTTTCCCCTTCCACAATTCTCCTTACGGTTTCAGACATCATCTCCTCTAAAACTTAAATAAGTTTTGCAGGATTATCTACAATCCCTTCTTTTCTCCTTCATTTCCTGCTCAAACTATTTACTGCAAACATCATAGCTTGGACTCCTCTGGCCCTGCTCTTCTGCCACTCATCCTCTGCACACCGAGGAAATACTCAGTGCTTTGCCAGGCAGCCAGCTGCAGCTGTCTGCAGTGCCTACCACAATCACAGGAAAAAGAAAAAATAAATAAATAAAAAAAATAAATAAAATAAAAAAATCCTATCATTTTTATTTGATGGGTAGCGTGGAAATCCTTCAAAGGAATTTCCAGCCAGAAGAAGGGAGTGAAAGGGCATAGCTGATGATAGGAAATTCTGAAAAGAAAGGATGCCATATCTTCTGGGTCCAACAGATTTTCCACCACTACAGAGAATAGTGGCACAGGGACTAGGAAGGCTGTGGTTGCCATGAAAATTACCAGGTACTGCATGAAATGCTGTATGGAAATACCATATTTTTAATCTTGCCTCAGCAAGATTGCTGGCCAGCAGCAGCATTTCTTGCTTCTGCCTCTCTTGAAACAGCCACCGCAAGACAGCTCTGCTGCTTTACGCTTCGTGGGCCCTGTGCATGTGTGAGCTTCTCCTTATTCTCAATTTAAATTAAGTGAAGAACAAGAAATGGCCTTCCCCAGGTGGTGACTGCTTCAATGTCTGGCGTGGCACTAATCTGGCCAGCACAAATCCCGGAACATCCACCAAAGTCACCCATGAATGGACCAATTACGCTGTATGACTCCAAATTCATCCTTCTTTAGAACTGAAGCTTCAACCATAATCGTGAAAACCAGTATAAAGAAAGAAGAATGCATCTTTAGACTCAGAGGTGCTGGTCTCAATTTACATGTTAGGGAGCAGCTCAGAGGTCATTTCCTTTCCCTCCTTACTGGGCAAGCTGCCCCCAGCAATACGCCTCCCACGAATACCTACAGGGCAGCCCTCCCACCCACCCCTGAGGAGCTGTGGCACCCCCACTTACCAGGCACATAGATGTAGATGTCCTTCCCCTCAACTTCCCCATCCTCCACTTGCGTGTGGTTATAATAGCAAACATACATGCCCGTGTGAGCGGCTGAGGCATTTCCGACTTCGAGCACTGTCACGAAGAGGCCACTGTTGTTCTCCTCGTGTCTGATGTCTATCCTGTGGCTTCCCTCTGTCACCGGGTACTGCCAGCTCACTTCGCTGTCTCCAGAGCATTTGAGTGTGAAATTGGAATTCAGCTGTACAACCATCTCATTTCTGTTGGGAACAATAGTCGGCAGAGGAAGCTGGCAAAGTGTTAGGAGCGGTCCTGGAAAAAGACGCAAATAAAGAACACATGAGCACGCAGCCCATCCTCAGCACGGGGATGGGAGAGGAGGCATTGAGGACCCAGAGCAGGCACCTTTATGGCCATTTCAGACGTGCTGACACCCCAGGAAATTTGCCCCTGTTAAAAGCCAGAGCTGTTCCCAGCGGAGGGCAAATGGCCTCCCTTTGAAATGCTAAGCAAGGGGTGTTTGCTTGCAGCGTTCTGTTTGGCAAATCCAGAGGTGAAAGACAGAGGGCGAGGTTAGAGAAGGCTCCCAATCCACACCTCGGCTTCCTGCCCCGAGGTGGGTGCTGCTTTTTTGCCCTGGCTGCTGGTTCGTGGGCATCGCAGGGCTGCACGGCCGCTCCGTGCAACACGGTGAGGAAGTCAGCAGTCAGACAATTTTCGAATAAGCTCGCAATCGAAAGTTAGAAACCGCTTCCCAAAGCCAGCACCTGTGTTTTACATCTGGCATCTATTTCTGCAGAGGGATGGAGAGGGGCTTGGATCCAAAGTTTGTGCATCAGGTCTACCTCTAGCCAAAGCGTACAGAGGGTTTACAGCCAAATAAAACTGTATTTCGCTGAACTAGATGTTGTAGATGGCACCTCTTTTCAGATGCAATCTATGTTTATGTGATCAGATTTGCAAGCATAGGTAATTTGAAGGTGGGCTGGTGCGGGGCCAAGTCCCAGAAGGAAAATGAGGTCTACACCCACAGTTCCTGAAGGAAAAGAAAGGGGAATTCACCGGGGAAGCAGTGTGAAAGTGAGCTCTGCACAACAAACCAACGCTGGGAGCCCAGACGTTCTTTGAAACCAGTTTCCCACATCTGCATGTGTTATCTGAGCCTGCAGGGCCCGTTCTATATTTGGCAGCCCTGTGGCAAGCCTTGCCCTCCCCTCCCAGCGCCATGCGTCCTGCAGATGCGGGCAGCTCTGTGGTGGGGACGGGGGTGCCGGGCCCACACAGGCAGCCTGGCCCGTGCCGAGGTGCTCCGGCATGGCAGGGCTGGCAGCTGGAGCTCTGCCTTCTCTTGGCCTACCAATAGGAAGGGCAGAGAAATAGAAGCTGGAGGTGGCTGGCCAGCCATTTGGTGTGTGTTAGTGTAGACATAACGAAGGGGAATTTAAACGTGGATTTACGAAGGAGCAGGGATGGCTTAGAGGAGTGAGGGATATTACCTGTGAGAAAACATCCCAGGATCAGGAACGTCCTTGGGGGAGTACCCATAACTAGCGACAACTGAAACAGAAAGAAGGCAACAGGGAGCCAGTTAATAGCTACAGCAGCTTGCAGGATCCCTCACTGCTAAAGGCAGGCACATCCCTGGGGCCCCACTTGCACACACAGCTTGGTGCGGTGCATGCGGCTACGTGGTACTGGTGATATGGCCAAGGAACCACGACTGCTGCTCCTCACCCATTCTGGCCCACCCCACTCCTGAATTCTGGAAACAGAGCCCAGAGCTGGCACTCGCAGCAAACAGCCTGCACACAGCCTGCTGCCACGGCATCCGGCACAGAGCCCAAAGAAACACCCTGCCCTGATGCGGGGTCAAAGCTGGTGAGAGTACAATGGCTGTGTGCTGTATGCATCCGAATTGTTCCTGCTTGCAGCTTTTTTGGGGGGAGAAAATGTATAGCATTAAAACCTACTTTTATTATAAATCTCGCAGTTGTGATATTTTTGTCTTACCATTGTACACATGTATATATATAGCTTACTGAATACAATACAAGACAATAGTGTTTATTGCTTATTTAGCAAGAATTCCCTTGATTGAGAGACATACTATTTAAAACATATGCCAACATTTTCTGATGGAATAAATACCCAATGGACTGCAGGCCTGCACTGCCATCACTGAGCGGCTCTTCTCCTCTGCAGTATGAAGAGCCATACATCATACGTGATAATTTCAGCTTTCAAACAAATAGTCATAAAGCATCGGTTGTGAAGAGGCAACAACGACATCAAGCACCACTGTAATTTTTGTGCAGTCTGAACCTATTTCTACTCGAAGCCCTCAAGCAGACTGCTGGATGTTTTGCAAAGAAGCAGCTCCTACAACCCCTGCTCCCATTGAGATCAATGGAGACTTCTGTCGATTTTAATAGTAACTGGATTTGGCCCAAATCCAACATGCACTTTAAAAAGACTGTACAGAACCCCTAACCTGAAACATGGACCAAGGAGTAAAATAAAGGATGATGTGTCAAAATAGAGATGACTTTTCAAAGGTCCCAGAGAATTTTAATTCATCCTCTGGTTTTCTGCTCCACAGTTCTGAGACAGGAAAGCACATAGGTGCATTCAGTCATTAAAGCAATGCCAACACCATATGGGAGCAAAATGGCTGCAGCATGCCAAGGAGTGTTTCTGAACGAGCCTTTCTTTCCTCCTGCAACGTGTGGTGCAGGCGGTGCTCCTTTGCAAAGCAAAAAGTATCTGACACTGATCAAACTGAAAAGTCTCAGGAGCAGAATTAGAAGACTTACAAAATACCAGTCCCCTAAACACGTAGAAACAACCTCGGAAATTCAGCTGACAACATTCCAACAGAGACAAGCTGTTTTGCCCCATTCTTGAATTAGCAATAATTGCCATGTGTTTATGTATCTGTCTCCCATTGATAGCAGATTCTCCGACATCAAAGAAGTTCCTTCGTTTCAGCCTCTTTACTTATTTTTCATCATATTTATGTATTGCAGTATTTTTTCTGATAAAGTAACCCGCTGTAAATCTTCAAAGAATTCCCGTAGTCAGCCTTATTGATATGATTCCTAAGCTCCCAAGCAAGATCCACAAGACAATGTTACCCCACTGTCTGCCAATTCTCCTTCTGCCCCTTCTGTCAGGAAAGAGCAGATCTCTCTCCCCAAGCTGTAACGTTTTTCCAGGCTATTTAATGCAGGGGAAGCAGTACAGGGAGAGAAAACACAAAGCTAACTCGCCTTTGACACACAAACCTGCAGAAGCTTTGCTTAAGCAGACTTACTCTGCTGTAAAGCTGTATGAGGACTGCAGCTCTGTGCTTAACCTGGTTTAAGGACAGGTGATGGCATTTCCAATGTGCTTCTTGGTATCTAAGGTCTTAGTTAGATTGCCATAGTGTTCAGTAAGACCTGAATGCCTCAGTCTACCCTTGCAGCTTAAAATAACACAAGAATTTACTGAATTTGCATTTCCCAGCAGGCTATTCTTTCTGAATCCATAGTTTTGATCTTGCCCTAACGACCCGTTAATCTAGCAAAGCCCAGCAAAACCCAGTGCAATATTTATTCACTGTGAAAGACAGAATAGCCTATTAAGGACTCATCATCATCCATACTCAACATCTGTTTGACCTGGATTAAATTACCTTGTGCATCAGACTCACACATGCCAAAATCATGGGTTAGCATAGGCACAATTAACACCTCTGTTTTGGGCAAAAGAGAGTTTCCTCATTCCCACTCCAGACAGAGATGCTTAGCATTTGTTGCTATCTACCAACACCTTTTTTATTTTTTCTGCACTTACTTGGCTTTTTTACCTTCTTCCTGGCAGGGAAACCCTCCTTGTCCCAAATTACCCACATTTCAGCCCCAAGTAACACACCAGGGTCCATTTGTAGCATCACCACATCAAACCACGAGTTGCTGTCATCTTGGTGAAGCCATAAATTTATGGAAGTGTTGTCAGTGCCCATGCAATGTAAGTTTGAGCCAACCTTGATTCTGTGCATAGCTTGAACATGTTAAAATAGAAAACACAGTGAAAGCGCAGTGATGCCATAAGGGGTTTGCCACGCTCACAGGAGTGGAGGCTGATTGCCCAGGGTAAAGCAATCACCACATCTGCCCTAATCACTGGGCTTCAGAAGGAACTGGCTGTAAAGCTGGTATCTTTGTTGTACGCTTTAACGATAAAAGAAAGTCAGGAAAAGAACATCAGAAGAACTTTTATCAGCAAGGAGTCAATCTTCCGAATCCTCACTGCCAAGTGCTGGCTTTCTGCCAGGAAGGATTTCACTGACTGCCAAGCAGAAGACAAAGTAAAATCAATATCCAGAAAGCTGATGGAAATGTGTGTTTAAAAGATGATGATACTCCTAGGCGATACTTCTGCTTGACCTAGAGGGAAAGCAGGATGGTGAAATAAAAAGACCCAGCAGTATATATTTTTTTATACTGCAGTAAATCAAACAAAGAGCTCATTCAGGTCAGAAAGCCATCCCATCTACCGGGAGCCTGGAGACGACAAAACTCATTTCCCGTCCGCTACCGAATCGCTGCAGTTTATCCTCTTCGCCACACGATGGCAATGTTGATCCACGTTGACAAACCAAATCACCCGTCCAGCAGAAGGAGATGCTGGTCTCCAGCTCAGCAGCTGGAACCCAAACCAGGTCTCCTACAGCAACTTAAAATAAAATTTCTTATATCTTAATTTCATGCGAATTTGACGATTTTTCTTCTTTGGGAAAAAAAGTTTCTATTGCTCGTATTTACGTAAATTATACGATGGTAAGTGAATTGCATATCTTGGCATGTAATGATGTGATTATCCTTGTTGTGAGATGGCTGGGTAATTTCAGGGGAGATTTTGCCTGAGTGGCAATCTGTCCTTCTGGGAAGTCTTTTCCAGCAGGAGCCACGGCCAGCCCAGGAAAAGAGGAGAATGTTTCCTCCCTGTGGCATATACCACTGATTGAATGTAAATATTCAGTCGGGACCTCCTGAAAGTTTTCTTGGTTTGCAGTTCCCAAATTACAAACTCAGTTCTCTGCAAGAACAGAGAAGCCCTGCAGCGCAAACAGGAGGATCTGAAGGTTTCGCTGGGGAAAGACACAAGCAGTGCAAGAACATTTCTTATTTGAAAAATCTGGCATAAATGTTCTCCTCAAGCGAGGTTCCTTTCACAACCCTCTGCAAATGTTTGCCTCTAGCATAGCCTGCACATCTCTTCTGAGCTACACGGGAACAACCACACACCAAGCTGAGCCCCTGTTGGGCTCCTACAGCATCTTAGCGCTATGCAGGATACCTAGAGAGTGCTGGAACCCTGTGAGCCTCCTGGTCAGCCCCAACCCTTCAGCCTAATCCATTGGGACAGACCCACCGGACTAGGAAATGACAGTGGAGAGCTATTCACAACATCTGAATTCACAGAAATGACTTTCTAGTTGGTCCCAGAAGATAGACATGACAGGCACTTCCAAGAAATGCATCTCACTTAGGTTTTCAGGTTCGGGAACTTCAGAGAACCCCTCAGATCACAATGTAGGTGCTCAGAAGCACAGCAAAAAACAATCGATTTCTGTCCACTGCAGAAGCCAGGAAGCCTCACCATTGCAAACTTTTCCCTTGGGCGTCCATGCAAAGCCTTATTGACATGCAAGAGATGAGTCAAGCAGGAGAGCAAGGCAAGAGGGAGAGACAGGACAGCTTGCTTACTTGCTTGCTTCTTTGAAATTACCAGCAATTTTTGCCAGTACCAGAAAAATGACCACTCAGAAACTATACCTTAGTCTTTAAAACAAGAGAAACAAATATGTCCCAACAAAATTTGCAGTGTTGATATACAAGAGTGATGCCATTTTGGCCATGATGACCTAAAGATACAAGAGAGGGGAGGTTTCTGTAAGGTTACCCGTTTCACCCATTTTTAGACCAATTTGTACCACTGGAAATAAGCAACAAGATCTGAGCTACAAGCCTTTTTCTATCTGTGTAAATGGTACTCAAATCCCAGCTTGATGTTGCGGTACCATGGAGATGTATTCATTTAAAATATTTATTGCTTTCTGCTTTCCTGAAACCTAATATCCGCGTATTCCTCTCACAGCCACATGAAGGTTTCCAAGACACCAACAAATGGCAAAGATGGCTCCGGTGCCACACCACGAAGCTTCTGCCTTGGGGCAGCACTGGGACAACAGGCTCATTCTGCAACAGGGGAGCCCGCCTGCAGGCTGGGAGAGCTGCTTTGCTTGCCGACTCCTAATTCCCACTGCTTTGTGCAGTCTCGTTTTTTTCAAACTTTTTTTTTTTCATGCGTCGAGGTTGGCTAAACTGCTGTTTAGCTGAGGGCTCTACAATGCTCTTTGTTAACTGGAAACTAAAATAGAAGAGCCTTGCTGGGAGATCTTGCTCTATCACTGCTAGATCCGAAGTTAAAAATCAGATCTCCACAGTTCGGATCTTGATTCACCAATGAGAGAGGGACCACTGATGCTCTTCTACTTGTTTTGATCCTGTCTCTGGCCCCATCCAGGCCATTGCTGGGCTCCACACCAGCACAGAGAGATGCTGAGGGTATCCTCCTTTTTCCGGGGTGCCGCACGGTGTCCCCACTCCCCTGAGCCGTATCAGTTGAGGGAGCTGTAGCGAGAGTAGGCAACACCAGCGAGATGTGGAATAACCGACCGCCCACCGTCTCCCAGTGGGGAGGCAGCGGGGACACTCAGTCGGCCAGAACTGGGTGGGTTCATACTTTCCAGCCCCCATTCTCGGGAATTCCCCTCCCTCTGTCCGCAGGGAGCTCGAGTGGTCCCCGAGGGGGCGGGTAGCAGGGTGCCCCCGAGCTTCCTGAGCTCCCCGCTCTCCGCTGAAGCTGCTGCGGATCAAAGACTGCCGGGACACCGAGCGGACCTTGCAAATATGGTAACTCCAGGCCACTGTGCTGTTTATGCAGGAAACAATAGGAAAGCCTTTGCCAAGCCGAGCAATTTTTTTTTTTTTTTTTTTTTTTTTTTAAACACGAGGTAACTAGAAAAAAGCAAAGCAGGACGAGAGGGTAAGGAGAGGAGCAAACAGAGCCGTCTTTTCCTGACCCGAGGTGTGCTGCGCTCCTCTCCGCTCTGTCAGGAGAAGCACGGACCCCCTGTGCCCCGGGGGATGGGCTCTGTGCCGCGGCCCGGAGAAACGCGCCCGCGGTCCCGGGACGGCTCCGCCCGTCCCCGCCCGTCCCGAAGATGTGCTCGGGCCGTGCAGCGGCGGGCTCCTGACGCCGGAGCGTTTGCGAGAATTGCGCCGAAAATGCCGTCGAGGGGCGCTGGAAGGGGGCTGGGGCAGAGGGAACCCCCCGCGGCGGGTGCTGCTGCCGCCTCGCTGGGTCTGTCGCTGCTCGCTCCAGAAAAAGCAGTCCGAGTCCTGTTCTCTGGAACGGCTCCTGGGCTGCTGGGTATCCGTCCAAAAATGTTGAGCAACGCCGCAGCCAGCCAAAAAGCCATTTCCTACTCGCTCCCAGGACTTTTCCAGGGGACTCCAGCCTGGCAGCGGCTGGCAGCTCCGCAGCTCCGCGCTCCAAAAATCCAAACGGTGACCGCAAAGATTTCGAACCCCTGGGGTTAGGGGCGATGGGCTCCGGCCGTCCAGCGGGGCGGCGGCGGTTCCGTTGCGAGCGCGGAATGGAAGCTGGAAGGGCTCCAGGTACCCGTCCTGCCCGAATTCAGCATCTTCCCTTCCGCTGAGACGTGTAAAAAAGACGGGGCGCGCGGGGACGGGGCGGTTGGAGACGTGCGCGTCCCGTCGAGGGAATCGGGGGAATGGGCCGGGGGGTGAGGTGGGGAAAAGGGTGATCCGAGGTGGTGAAAAACAAAGGGTGGGGGAAGGGAGCGGGTGAAGGAAGCGAGGGCAGAGGTGCGGATGCGAGAAGCGGGAGAACTCTGGGCGCGCCCCCGCCTCACTTCGGGACGCGTTCCCCCGACCCCCCGAGGCTCGCACGGCCGCTGCCCGCGGAGCCGCGGCGGCAGGAATGCGGCGCGGTGGCCCCGCCGCGTGTCCCAATGTGTTTGTCATTAATGCTGCCCGCGCCGCTCGCCCCGCCGCAGCCGCCGCCGCGCCCCGACGGCCCGCGGTCCCGGAGCCGGCAGCGCCCGCAGATCCGCGGAAGGCGCCCGACTCAGCCTCGCTTGGACAAAGCGTCGGGGAAAAATGAAACACCAACAAATAAATGCGTAGGGAGAACAAAAAAAAAGAGAGAGAGAATATATATATATATACCTGAGAAAGGAAAACAAAAACAAAACAAAACAAAAGGTGGGAAAACTGCTCCTCACCTCTTACCTCCTCCTTTATAACGCGCAGATTCCGTCCTGCAGATTGTAAAATATCCAAAATATGTCCACGGCTTTTGTGAATCTCCCCGCTCAGGCGCGCTCCCTCCCGCTCGCCCTCCCTCCGGCTCCGACTGCAATGGTCTCACAACCCGCGTCCCGTAATTGATTCAATGTTATAGTCCATCCTTCCAAAACTAATCATTTGCTTTAAGTAAATAGCTGTCAGGAAATGAAGCCCCCTCCGGCCCCTTCACAATAAGAGCCGCCCCGGCTCGGCCCGCGCCCCCGGCCCCGCGGGCGGAGGCTCTTACGCAGGCAGGGGGACAGCCTCAGCCTCCAGCCTTCCCCGGCCTCGCAGGGGAGGGGGCGGCCGCCATATGGCAGAGGCGAGGGGGAGGGAGGGGGGAATCTGAGCGTTTTGCACTGCGGGGGGAAAAAAAAATCTATAAGAAAAAAAAAAAAATAGTTACATGTAAACTCCGAGTGCTCCCCATGTCATGAACGAGCCTTCCTCCTCGCATCCTCCAGGACGGCGGGGCGGGCCCGGTGGCCGCGGGCACCGTGTGAGGCTGCGGCCGGGCGGTTTGAGCTGGAAACGAATTGGCGGCTTCCTCGTGTCCTTTGTACGCGGCAGAGCGGGGGTTCGGGACGGAGCGGGCGGACGGTGCGAGGCACGGGAGCATGAGGCACTGACACACGGGGGGCGAGACGGAGCCCTCGTGGGTATGAGTGAGAGCCGCAACGAGAGGTAACCGCCGCCGGCACGTCCCGAGCCCTGCTGTTCCGACGGGACCGGGACAGCTCTTCTCTCCCTCTTTGGTTCGCTCCTCGCCAACAGAGCCCGTCCCGTCTGAGGCCGCTCGGGGCGAGCTTTGATCCCCGACGGGTACCGCCGAACCGCTATCTGCTAGTGATAAGCGGGAGCCGCTCCTCCCGCGGGCACCGAGCGCGGCGGTGCGGCGGCCGCGGGCAGAGGGCAGTGCTGCCCCGAGCACGGCGCTTCCCGGCCTCCCCGGGGACGGAGGGCATCGGAGCTGAGCCCGTGTCTTCGCCCGCCTCTTGCTCTCCGTCTGACACCTCTTTTTTCCCGCTTAACATTAAACAAAATTTGGTCCTCAATTTCCAGCGACAGGATGCTAGGCGGGTTTTCTCCGTCCTATCCTAAGGCTCAGCCTCCGAAGCGAAGATACCCCGAATGTAGCGAGAGCAAAACCGAGGCCGCCATTCCCGACGTGTGCGCGGGGGCTGGGGCTGAGCACCCCGGTGCGGCTCAAGGGGTGCCAGCCTCAGGCACGCTCCGCTCCGGGGCTTCCCCGGCTTGGGGGAGCTCACGTCCCCGCTATTGGTTCCACATGTTTCTGCAGGAAACCATCGGAGTCGGATCTGCGAGTGGCTTCTGCTCGGAATGCTAACAGGATACCGGAATGCTTGTGAATAAACAACGCTGCGAGTGAATCAAAAGCATAGGGGAAAAATAAGGAGCAAAACAAACCAGTACACCCGGAGATTCTCTGCCTGGGGGCGAACACACGCAGCAGCCCGACCCTGGAATTTGAGTTGGAAAAGTCCCATCTGTGGAGCCGAGGGCTTCGAGCACCGCGAGGATGCGGCCGTGGGCAGCGCCTGGGAGCCCCGCGGAGACCCCGCGGACGTGCGGGTGGGGCGATCCCCGATGGAGCATCGCCGGGATCGGATGCGATGCGAAAGGCGCTCTTGGTAAAGGAAAGAGCAAAAGGAAGGGGAGAAGGCGCCTTCTGGTTGCAATTACCTGCCTCATTTGAATAATACCTTTGTCGTGATCATTATCGAGCATTCGTTAACGGCTTCCATGTGGGATCTCACAAGAGCGAGAAAAGAAAAAAAAAAAAAAAAGGAATTTGGGTCTGATAAAGTGGTCCGCGGGGCCGGGCCGAGGCCGGCCGTACCCCTTCCCCCCTTCTCCCGACGGGGCTCCCCCACGTCCACCACCGCAGAGAAAAGGGGCGAGGGCCCTGACCACGGGAGAGACCCTCCACCTCCCGTCTCGGTCCCGTCCGTCTGGCGGCAGTGCCTACGGGTTGGTCCCGCGCAGGAGGGCCATGGCATTAGTTAACACAAACCCCCGAGGACGGCTCCCGAGCGCTGCCTCCCGCCCCGTGAGGCGCAGGGGGGTCCCGTCCAGGAGGCGCGGGGTTACCGAGAGGACAGGCTGGGGGCGGGGGGATTCTCAGCACGGCAGCCCCCTCTGCTTTCCCCTCCTCCCCCGACGTGCTGCCGCATCAGGCATCCCGGAGCGTGTGTTTATGTGGCAACAGATGGGAGCTGCACGTTCCGAACAGCACCGTGGCGCCCGCGCTGGGGCCGCTCCCTCCGTCTGCGTCCCCGCCCCGCACCCAGGGTCTCGCTCCGGCCTCGCAGCGCCCATGGGCCCCGACGGGGCGGCCCGCTCCAGTCCCGCCCTAACAAAACATTCACCAAAGCGAGAACCCTAGTACTGTGTAGGGCAGCTCCAACCTGGCGCAGAGAGCCGTCAGACCTCCAGAGAGGGAGAAAGCCGAGCGGCCTCTCCTCGGTTGTCACTACCAATCTGTGCTCACATCTATCACGGAGAAAGGAAAACGCAGCCGCCAGGGCCGCCTGGGGCAAACGGGAGCAAGGCGCAGGGATGCGTCGGCCCCATCGGGGCTGCTCGGTCCACGGGAGTTTATCGGGAGGTTATTTTTTCACTCTTTCCACAATTCCCCCATTCTGTTTGTTCGAGCATCATCTGGATCTGCATAGCGGAGATTCGGTATCTCCGGGTGGGCAGTAGCCGGAGAAAAGAAGCTAAAGGCAGCTCCCCGGCCCCAACCTCCCCTCCCCACCTTTATTTTGGTGTTTAAGGTAGCTCCCTGTGCCCACCGTGCTCCCACTAAGGCCGCTGCTGCCGCGACGTCGAATTGTTTTGCTTTCAGTGTTACATTTGGCTTTCGACATTAGAAGTTGCCAAAACAGCCGGGAAGGCTTTATTCATTGTGATGAAGAAAAAAAAAAAAAGAGAGAGAGAGAAAAGAAATAGGCTTTGTTTTTCCTTCTGCTCCCTCCCTGGCGTTCAGGCCGGGGCAGAATAAACAGGCTGCTCCGGTCCCAGCCTGGCTCAGGGTGAGGCAATGCGGCGGAGAGGTGCAGCAGGACGCTAGGGGGCACCGCAGCCCGCGAGAGGAGCGGCCCGACCCAGCCGGGAGAGCGGGCACGGGCAGCCCCCCGCCCCCCGCATTAGGGAGGGGGCAGCGCTGGGTGCGCGCCTGTGGCTCGCAGCTGGGGCTGATTAACTCATCTCTTAAATAGCACCCGCTTAAGCAAGGTTTAGAGGGATGGTGTTTGCTTGGTTTTGCTGGTCTTGGTTACAGGGCTAGCGGGTTCGGAGAGCAGCGTGAGGGCTTTATCCCTGCGGGTCCGGCCCTCAGCAGCTCCCGGGTTGTTGGGAAGCGGCAAGCAAAGCTACAAGAGCAGTCTCTGCCCCGCTGCAAATGAGATGTTTTCCCTCCGAAATCAAAGGACATCCTCTGCTTGTTCAGCCCAGGTTTGGTTTTGATCCGTAGGTCCCCAGACCATTATTTTTGCTCTTGTTCTTTGGAAGTGTAACAATTAAAGGTTTGCAGTAAGGTACAGGTACAGCTGAGCCAGGCTGCTCTGTTTCTGGCTCCTTTTGGGGTGGGCTTTATGCCTCCAGGCTGCTGTGCTCAGGGCCTTCAGGTGTACCCAGAGGAGCTGCCTGAGGCAACACTGCCCTTATGCTGGACACAGCTAGCCTGGGTTTGGGTCCTTAGATGTGCCTGGACTGCCCATGTCTACCACGTGTTCCTTGCATGGGCAAGGAAGGGCTGCAGCAACTGAGCACCATCAGGTGCCCAGCTCTGGAGGGCACCATTCCATGGTAACTTTTCCTCAGGTACTCATATCTTCGGAACAATCTGCTGTAGCATAACTGAAGCTAAAGCCACAGTTTCTGAGTAGCAAGTGACTTTCAGAAAGGATCTTTCTCTTCCCCAGATGTTTTCTGCTCTTGAGTACTATGGCAAACAAGCACTGTCCTCCCTTTTATGTGATATGGGGAGATTATGAATATGGGTCTCATCCCTCCTGTTGGTGAGGAGGAGGGAAAGCCCTCAGTGCCTCCTAAAAGCTTGCGAAACTGGGCTTCCTAAGCTGCAAGTTTCACCCAGTGCTTTTCAAAACTAGTTCAGCCATTTGGGATTGGAATAATAAACATCTGTGCTGACACGCAGCAAAAACTCCAGACAGGGAAATGAACTGAGCTGCTTCTTTGCTGCAGCACTGAGGCTGTGCTGGAGGTGCGTCAGTAGGAGCTGCCATTCTTGCAGTGCTGTGCTTTTCCTGCTCTCAGATGTGACACTGAGGTTATTCTTATAACCCTGTTCTGAGACAGAGGAAATCAAGAATTTGTATCTAGAGCAGTTCCAGGAGGTGGTCAGAGGCTTTCTTTAGGTAGGAGGGACTGACACACTGAAAAGTAGAGGAAAATCCTTTCTCTCTTTACTGTCACTTCGATAAATGAGTAATGAGGCTTTTCTTTTTGTCTGAGGTCAACAGGTTTTAGCCTGTCCCTCATCTCATTCTCCAGGGACTACTTGCTGCTCCAGTTACGTGTTTATTTGCCTGTCCATTGTCGAGAGTCCTTTAGGGCGCTTAGTTGTTTGCACTTCACTTGAGTGGGGCGGTTTCAGAGGGAGAAATGAGAAAGTGAGATGAGGAAAAGGCAGGTACAGCCCCTCTCCCCCCAACCAGGATGGGAAGCGATGGCTCAGGGGACACTCAAGAATGAGGCAGTGGAAGCATCCAGGTAGGCTTTGACCTCAAACTGGTGGCTGTTCTGGTCGCGTATCTCTGGTTTTAGTCTCAAATATCCTTTGGAAACAAACACAAAGTGTCTAATGGGGAAACTGGGACAGATTCTGCATTGTGTAAATCTGGTGTAACTCCAACTTCAAGGAAAATATTCCAGATTGAATCTGGTATAATTAAGATTAAAAACTGGCTCTGGAAGTCTTTTCTTTGGCAATAAAGTTAGAGAAGTACTGTGAAGAAAAATAATTCAAACCAGAACATTGTTTCAGTGTTCTTTTAAATAACATACGCTATAGGCTCTTTGAAGGCATTTGTTCTCCATGGCAGCAGTATTTTAAAACTTTCACTTTGGTTCCACAATCTGGGTTAACCCTTGAAAACCAAGTGTGGCTAAAATGCCTTACACAAACATCACTTTGCAGGACTTTCTCCAAATTATTTCAAAAAATCACTGGAACTGTTAAAATTGTTGCCATAGCAAGCCTCTCTCTGAGGATAAAGCCATACATTTCACTATCCTACCCAAAGAAATGCAGGCATTGCAATGGCTCTAAATTTATACTTGCTTGTCAACGGGGTTTGTTTTTGTTTTTTTTTCATGGTGAAGACTTTATCTGAATGTTAAACTCCCTACTGAGGTGGAGCGACTTTCAGAAGGCAGTTGTTGAGTATTTCTGGGAAACAAACCTGAATGGAGTCCCTAAAGGAATGCTGAAAAACTGAAGATCCATAAATTATTGAACATTTTTCTAGCTCTCATGAACCACATGGCAAGATGTCCTTTAATGGTCATTGTGTCCACTGCCACCTCATTTATTAGTCCCGTGTCCCAATCAAAATGACTTCACTGTCATTTTATTGCAATTGCTGAGAGGGCGCTGCTGCTTTGTGTAGTTAGATGAGTGTCCCAGGTCTGCCATTCAGCCCTAATGAAATCACAAGGTTTGATGCTGCTTTTAGTGGTCCTGGATATTCACCAGAGATTAATAAGAACATTCTTCAAGATGTGGAAGAAAAGAATGGAAAACTGCATCAGCTGTGCCTGACTTGGGTTCTTTCTTTGTGGCATCTGAAGAACACAGCATGGCGGTTTTTTAGCTTTTTAAGTCAGATGGAGAAGTAGGGAAGTAAATCCTATTTATTTCAAAAGCACAGGAACATGGAGACTTGTCCACCCTATTCTGGCCAGAGAAATTCTCTCTGAATCTATGAGCTCGGACACTGGGATGACATGGGCTCTGTGGTGGTGACTACGTTGAAAAAAGGTGTTTTGTAGCTGAGAATTTGCTCTATCAAATAGTGTCACTGTACTCTTTGTGTTTATTGTAGTTTCCATTGAAATAAATAGGAGGCATTACTTTTGGAATGACCTACATAGTAAGGATACAAAAAATGTCTAAATCAGAGCAATGTTCTTTGCTGGCTCTCTTTGTCAGTCAAGGGCACTGCAGAAAAAGAGTTGGGTAGGAACAGGTCACTTCATCCCTATTTTCTATTTTTACAGTCAGGGGGAATAGAAACGTGTTTTCCTCAGTGTCAAGAGAATTCAGAATTTCCATTTCTTCTCTTTTTGTGACAAGAGAAAACATTTGTGGTGCCAAAGCAAATCCAAATAAATTCTTGAAATTCCTATCCGTCACCAAACCCGCGTTTCCTATTCTTAGCTATTTTTCTCTTCGTTTGTGTTATATTTCTATTACAAAAACTGTTCTTTAAATTCATTCCTATGCAAAACTTTGGGAACATCTCATTAAGAAGGCAGGAGATCCAAATGAATCTAAGATGCCTGCAAGATTATTCTTTTCCAAAGCAGTAGGATTTAGTCAAGATGACAACAGGAAGGCTTTGAGGAAATGCTTTCCTCCAGAACATCAGCAGCTGTGCAGCCAGGGGCTGGTCAGATCAGTGCTGGAAAGCATGGCCATGTCCTCCGCCATGAACAGGAAGTCAGCAGCACGTGGTCCTGCTCATAGGAGGTTAAAATATATGAGCAGTGAGACAGCTCGGGTGGACAGAAGCCATTGTAAATAGCTAAGGAGTTGAGTGCCTTTTTTTCTGAGAGACAAATGGCCTCACAGCCCACTTAGCACCTGCCGGTGCCCCTGCTGCCCTCTGCCCTGTAGAGCTGCTTGTTCCAGTGGCTTCTGAAGCTCTCCCAGCTGACATATGGAGAAGGCATTTGAAGCCTTTTTCATTGCTGCTTGTCCCAATATTGACTTAGGGAAGGAGGAGAGTTAGAAGCAGCCAGCTCTACGCTGCCTACAGACCTTCTGCCTCACTTTGCTTTAGGCTTCAAATCACAAACATTGGCTTAAACTCCATTAGCATCTGAATGGTGGTAGGGTTGCAAGAAGCCAGGAGGTGTAAGTGTAAGATTAAGTGTGTACATACACTTACTTGTGTCAGTGTAGCCCCTCCATTATTTGGAGTTGGAAAGGAGTGGAATCACAGCTGAGAATGTTTAACTCTCATCTCAGCAGCAGGGATTACTTGGCATTAAAGAAGTAACAAAGCTGCCTTCAAAAATGCATGTTGGATCCTTTGAGGGGACTGCTAGAGTCTGAGCAAAGCCCTTTGCCATGGACAGGTTGCTTCGTGTCCTCACACCACCTCAAGTGCCACCCCCTGCCCCATGCTGCTCTGCCCAGGACAGGGATCCCAGGGTGCCTGGCTGGGAGGAGGCCATGGGGCTGGCTGCTAAGGGGGCATGGCTTTAGGAAGGGCAATAAGCTCCATTGGGCCACCAGGGAGAGTGGATTTCCCAGCTGGGATCACTCAAACTTGTGGGCCTGCATGGAAAAACACCCTTACTCTAGCCTCTGGGAATGCAGCTCTGCCATGGTTTGTAAGAGTGTCCCGGAATATCTCTGCACTGCACAAAGACAGCCAGACTCTGAGAGAGATGCCTTCAAAGCAGGATTAAAACCAACTGCTGGATTCCCACCCAGAAGCAAAAATAAAGCAGCAGAGGCTGAGTATGGCCCTGCAGGCTGCCTGGGCTTCACTTTGCTTCAGCCTGCAGTATTGCCAGGAGCCATGGCAGCACAGAGGTACCACAAAACCAGGCCCAAATATCCCACAGCAAGGTGTCCTCCGTAGCAGTGCATTTCTAGAGCTTCACAAACATTAAAGCACACCAGGAATGACTGCTTTGACCTTGATTTGATTCTGAAAGCAGGTGGTGGAGCCAAAAGCATCCTGGCTTTGTGGCTCTCTTTGGCAAGCAGTCAGCACTGAGATAGATCTGATGTCACGCTGATGTCAGAGCTTGAATGCAATACATGGGTATGTCAACATAATGAGTAACAGAAGCTCAAAAATGGCCAAGAATGCTTTGTTTCCCTCTAACATCTTTTGCTGAAGTGGGACTGAGTGTAAGTGAGGGGGATGTGCTGGTGATGAAATGAAAAGCATCTCTCTCCCTTTTTGCTGTGCTCGTTGCTACTTAGAGGTTTGCCAGCTTCCAGAACTTGGCAGGATGTCCTCAGTGCTAAAGATCAGGCCAGCTCTGTTGGAGAGGTCTGGGCCCAGTCTGGTCTCCTGACTTACATAGGTACCTGAAATCTGGTCAGGAACACAGTATGGGAGATGCCCGATGTGCAATTCACTCGCTCTTTACAGCAGAGGTGATGGGTCTCTAGACTGCCTGTTATGTGTTGTCAGTCCTCAAACTTTTTGGACAGATGAAGAGTATTCTTGCTGACAATTAGAGCAGATAGGGATTGTCGATGTTAGGCGCATGAGTTTGTCAGAGCAGAGAAAATTCAGGGTAGAAGGAAGAGCTAATTGTGTTGAGAAAGCATAGGCAGTGTTTGTGTTCTCTCTCTGGGATTAAAGTTAATCGTGCACTCAGAAGTTCTCCAGAACAGCTACAGAGGTGCAGGTTTAAACTACTTGCCATTTGTGGAAAATCTTTGGGCTGTCTTAGAGACTCAGTTCAAGATACTAGATTAGACTGAATGAATCACAGAATTGCAGGAGTTGGAAGGAACCTCAAGAGATCATGAAGTCCAATCCCCCACTAAAGAAGGTTTCCTACAATAGGCTGCACAGGTATGCATCCAGATGGGTCTTGGTTATCTCCATAGAAGGAGAGTCCACAACCTCTCTGGGCAACCTGTTCCAGTGCTCTGTCACCCTTGAAGTCACCTTGAAGTTTTTTCACGTGTTAGTATGGAACTTCCTATGTTCAAGTTTTAGGCCATTACTCCTTGTCCTATTCTCATACACCACTGAGGAGAGCCTCATCCATTTGCCTCCCATCTCCCTTTAGATATTTATAAACATTAATCAGATGAATGAAACAAGTCAGCTGGTGTTTGATGCTAGCTGTATTGGGAAAGAAAACTGAAGGCTTCACAGTGCAGTGAATTTACTGATGTAAAGGAAGGGGAACTCTTGAAATCCTTAAAGTTACAGCAGCACCACATTAGTGTGGAAAGAAGATGGGGATGTTTTCTTTGAGGTCACAGTGATCAGCCACCATGTTTCTCACATTTGGAAAGCTGAAGTTGTGAAACAGAGAATCTGTAAGGATGTTACACATAACAAGCTGTTATCTACAAGGGTCTGCTAGATGTCTCTGAGAAAAATCCTTGTCCGAAAGGTGGGGCTCAAAGAAAAGTTTCTTTTGTTTTCATGTCACTCATTTGGTCTGTGTTAAGAATACTACCGACAAGGCTTTGCTTTGGAAACACATGAAAAACAGAGCCAACTTTCCACTTCCAGCATCTCCTATTCACAAGGAATGTGCAGAAAACCTTGATATGATGCAAATTAAAATGATTATGTCCTTGCCAGCCCTAAATTCCAGGAAGTGAAGCACATCGTCCTCATCTGCCATTCCAGCAACATTTGCTTTTGCTCTAGCCTAAGTACCAGACTGTTTCCTTCATCTCCAGGAGCTGACCACCCGCTCAGATTCCATGGCCTCTCACAGCAGAGCAGAGTGCTCTCCCCAGGCATTTTGTGCACCCTTGTGTGCCATCCAAACCTCTGCCCATGGAGACATAAAGGTGCCTCTGGGAGGAAAGTATCTGGATCCTATGGCATAGGTATGGCACAACACCTGTATAGGCCCATCTCCCAGAGGGGACAGGAAATCCTATTGGAACTCATGCCAACACTCTAGGTCACAATCCTGCAGGGCAGTGGGCTTATAAAGAAGGCTTGTGAAACCCTTCCATGGTGCTATCAGTTATTGTTTTTTTCATTCCTCTTGATAGCATCTTCCGTAGCACTACTTTCAATGCACAGGGCATCCCACCCCTCTAGCATGCATCCTCCCAGAAACATGTAGAAACTCTCTTGTCTGGAGCAGATGTCTCTTGTCTGGAGCAGATGTCTCCTGTGTAGATCTAAGTGCTCTGTGACACAATGAATGCCTCACTATCAAATCCTGCTAGGTTTGCTTCTTGGTCCAGGGCACCTGTAGGGAAGGTAATATTAAGTGATGCCAAATGAGCAATTCTATAACCCATTCTGCCTACAGAGCAGCTCTATGCTTTATCCCTAGCACTGGGCAGTGGTGTGAAGCTCCCATGCACTGACACAGACTGAACAACGCATTCAGCGAGATGATCCATTTTGATGTTTCCTACTGCTCAACATATGTGGGTGTTGCAGAGGGAGAGACTGGCCGGGCAGAATAAAGGGGATGACTCTCTCCCAGCATGCAGCACCAGCGACATCTGATGCTCTTCAAAGAGGTTATAGGCTGCATCTGGTGGAGATGCTGTCATGTGGAGGAAGGATGTGAATTGAGGGACTTGTGCAGAAGCCAGACAGCTATTAAAGTGTAGATATTCTGATCCAGAGGAAAATAAGGTCAATTGAAACCTCACATTTAGTAGGATCCTTATGCCTGATGTATGCTACCTGTGCTGCTTTTCCTTCATATCACCAAACTCTGCTGATAGTGATGTCCCAGAGTGCAGGACCGTAGCATAACAAGGAGTAAAGCATGCTGAAGTCTGTGGGGTTCCTCTTAGTTTCTACAGATGTCAGATTTAAAAGAAAATCACCAAAAAAAGCTGTAATATACTAAATATTATATTAAATAATTTACTGAATGTTTTCTGAAGTTGCTGAGATATTTCTGTAGTGAACAACCAGTAATAGTACTCAGAGGTAGTGTAGTAGCTTTTAGTCTTGAAAAAGCAGTTAGACACAATAGCGTAACATGAGAGTAAATCGAGGATTGTATAAGTGTTTTGTCTAGAACTGTGCCTAGTCTATAAAGGCCTTTCTGCTTGGCCATACCACCTGTGGCTGGGTTAATATCCATGTTCCCAAACACTCTACAAGGTGAGTAAAGAACTTCAGCACAGCGCATGCATGCATACACCACCTGATGTTAGAGGTCCCCTTTCTGCACACCTGTGGAAGGAACTCAGGCAGTGAGTGCAGTTTGGCAGGAGGCCCCCATCCAACATCCCTCTGTGGCTAAATGCTACAAAATCACTGCTCACATCGGGCCCCTTGGAGCTGCTCAGAGAAATGGAAAAACTTCAACTAGCCAAAACAGATCACTCCTGGAAATTTTAAAAAGGCCTTAGTGGAAGTTTTAAGTTTTCTCCAAGAAATCTTTTTTTTTTTTTTTTTTTTTTTTTTGTGTGTGTGTGTGT